TCTCTAATGGTTCGTCTCCCCCTCCGACTTACTCCCCTTCATGGAAAATTTGTTTTTTTTAAAGATTTTATTTATTTATTAGAGAGAGAGAATGAGAGATAGAGAGCACGAGAGGGAAGAGGGTCAGAGGGAGAAGCAGACTCCCCACCGAGCAGGGAGCCTGATGTGGGACTCGGGCCCGGGACTCCAGGATCATAACCTGAGCCGAAGGCAGTTGCTTAACCAACTGAGCCACCCAGGCGCCCAGGAGCTAAGGAAAATTTATCTTACTTTGAGAGAAATAATTGAGATGGTTTTTGTTTCATCACCTTAAACAACGTTCCCAACAAAAACCTCCCCTGGAGGATTGTAAATTTACTTCAGAGTACTTTCTGATAACCACTAAATCTGAATCCTGGCTTTTATCCACTTGAAATCACAAACCAACTTGCCATTTGAACCAGCTAAAATTTTGGCAATGCTCATATGCTTATATACCAGCGTATGTCTATATAATATGCTGATGATCCCGCTCACAAAACCCTTGGAAAAATTAATGGAACATGCTTCAGTACTCACCTGAATCAATTTTTGTCTTTCTTCCAGAAAGGAGAGATACTTAGGGGCTACCTTAAGGTGTCTGATTAAACTCTCCTGTAAAGAACTGATGCAGTTTGGAAGAAAGCCACCTGTTTCCATGGAAAATTGAAGGACATCTGCTACCTGTGGCATAAAAAACAAAACAAAATAAAAACCTGTCTATAGAATACATAGCTATCTCATGGCAGAAATGGCAAAAATATATTTAAAAAAATGTCTTTAAATACCATTCTCCCCAAGGACCCACATGATAGAAAATGCCATCAGAAAAACTGTTCAGTCAACTAATTCTGAAAAATTAGGAAAGAAAAAAAAAAAGGATCACCCAACTTTAATGTATCCTTGTCTACTTTCTTTTCCACGCCTTTTGCTTGCCTGCCTTATGGTTATCTATTACTCCCTGGTGCCTTCAGGCAATGGGAAAAAGGAAGATAAATTTCAAGAATTATTTGTATTACTTATCAGCAACTCTGGCAAAGTTTTGGTAAGGAAAGCTAATACAATTAAGAATTGGAGGGGCACCAGGCTGGCTTAGTTGGTAGCGCACGCAACTCTTGATCTCATTGTTGTGAGTTTGAGCTCCATGTTGGGTGAAGAAATGACTTAAAAATAATAAAATCTTGGGATGCCTGGGTGGCTCAGTCAGTTAAGAATCTGCCTGTTCGGCTCAGGTTATGTTCTCAGGGTCCTGGGATCGAGCTCCACATCGGGCTCCCAGCTCAGAAGGGAGTCTGCTTCTTCCTTTCCCTCTGCCCCTCCCCCATGCTTCCGTGTATGCGCTCTCTCTCTCAAATAAATAAATAAAATCTTTAAAAAAATTAAGAATTGGACTATTTATCTGTGTGTGGTAGGCTAAATAATGCCCCCAGAGACATCCACATCCTAACCTCTCGAACATGTCAACGTTGTTTTATATGGCAAAACGGACTTTACAGGAGTGATTAAGTTAAGGCTCTTGAGATAGGAAGATTATCTTGAATTATCTGGGTGGGACCTAAATGTAGTAAGAGGGAGGCTCAGGGAGATTTGGCTACAGTCACTGGAGGTGATGGGGCGATGGAAGCAGAGACTGCCGTGGTGCATTTTTTTTTTTAAACAAACAAAAGAACAAACTCTTTATTTGAAAACAAACAATTCAGAATCAACTGACCATCTTTTCTAAAACTTAGAGGTTTTTTTAAGGGGATTCTTTCCCAGAAAAAAAGGAAATTATGTCATTCCCCAAATACAAATACAATTTTTATCTTTCTTTCTTGCATACACACTCATACTTCTTTATGCCAGTATCATAGTACTATTAAAAGACAAATGTGCTGTCACAACACTTCAGCTTCAGGGCAATCAGTGGGCAGTCCTCTCTTACTGGGACCAATAAAAAGGTTTCAATAAAAAAAGTCAGTACTCTAGGGGCGCCTGGGTGGTTCAGATGGTTAAGCATCTGCCTTCAGCTCAGGTCATGATTCTGGGGTCCTGGGATCGAGCCCCACATCGGGCTTCTGGCTCAGCGGGGAGCCTATTTCTCCTTCTCCCCATCTCCCCAGTTCATGCTCCTCTCTCTCTCTCTGTATCTCTGTCAAAGGAATAAATTAAAAAAAAAAAAAACTTAGGGTGCCTGGGTGGCTCAGATGGTTAAGCGTCTGCCTTCGGCTCAGGTCATGATCCCGGAGTCCCGGGATCGAGTACCGCATCAGGCTCCCTGCTCCTTGGGAGCCTGCTTCTCCCTCTGCCTCTCTGTCTCTCTCTCTCTCTCTCTCTGTCTCTCATGAATTAAAAAAAAAAAAAAAAAAAAAAAAACTTAAAAAAAAAAAAAGTCGGTACTCTAGAAAACATTCATGCCAGCTCTCCTCATTTCCATGAAAACTCGAAGTTCTCCAGACTTCTTGATTCCTTTAGCCCTCAATAACCTCTCCTTATTTTTTTTTTTTAAAGATTTTATTTATTCATTTGACAGAGAGAGAGGCAGTGAGAGCAGGAACACAGGAGTGGGAGAGGGAGAAGCAGGCCTCCTGCAGAGCAAGGAGTCCGATGCGGGGCTCGATCCCAGGACCCTGGGACCATGACCTGAGCCGAAGGCAGACGCTTAACGACTGAGCCACCCAGGCACCCCAATAACCGCTCCTTCTTAACCTTGTACCCCCACCCCACTGCCACTGAGCAAACACCAACAGGGTCCTAAGCACTTCAGGAAAAATTAATTTTGCCAAAACTAAACTAAAATAAAAAAGAATTCTGTATACTAATATAACTATCTACCTCCCTCTAGTTGCTGGCCAGGGCCAAATGTCACTGGGTTTGTGTGTGTTTTCTTGGTCCAGCCCACCAACTGACTACCAATTTGTGATTGCAAGCAGTGGTACATTTTCAAGTTGGCAGGAGCCACAAGCCAAAGAATACAGGTAACAGCTGAAAAGGCAGAGAAACAGACTTCCCTCAGAGTCTCCAAAAGAAACCAGCCCTGCTGACACCTTGATGTTAGCTCAGTGAAAATGATTTTAGAGCTCTGACCTCCAGAACTGTAACGGAGTAAATTTATGTTGTTTTAACCTACTAAATTTGTGGTGATTTGTTACAATAACAATAAGAAACGAATATACTGTGTTAAAGGGAAAAAATTGGAAAAATTCTGAATTCTTGCTTCTTGTAATATGGAATCTGAAAAGTGAATATGGAAAGATGTGCCAACGTGTTCATATGGGGTCTAATCAAGAAACCTAATGGTCTCAGGGGAACAATGAGCAACTCTCTTACATTTTGGAGTAAGCTAGAAATAATATCTATATAGTGAAAAATCCTGAAAGAAGGCCCAAGGAACATGTCAACAAGAGAAGTGGCATAAAGTTCATTATGGGAAGATACATAAAGAGCAAACTTGAACCATATTTAATAACATAAAGTTGAGCTTTTAGGAATTTCTGCTTAAAAATATTGGTGAGGGGTATAGAGATCACTTAAAATTATAATAATAATAAAAAATAACTGGCTAACTCATTATTTTAACCCCTCTCCAAAGGCTCTAGACTTGTGTATTCAACATGTCCCTTTTGACTGGCATAAACCTAGAAGACTAGAAGAACATAAAGAAGACATAATGAAAGCTAGTGGTTTTACTATTCTCACAGCCAAACCAGAAACTCACATCAGCTCTAAGAGGTAGTTAGTACAGACTAAGGACTTCTCATTTCTCTAGGATTCTTTAGGGCAGAGAAGAATCATATATAATCAGACTGTTTTGGCCCAGAATAGGCTTTGGGGGCATATCTAAGACAACCTGCATCTCTGAGCTAGATGCTAACTAGCTATTAGTCTTAACTGATCATTATGAGCTTAAAGGCACAGACTGTGACTGTTCACCTCACACTAACACTAAACACACAGATTGTGACTGTTCACCTCACACTATCTCATGTCAGACTTCTGAATGACCCCCCAAGTTGTTCAAGTTTCTGAATGCTATAGAGTATGGATCTTGCTTCTTCTTTTCTTTTGAATTTTGAGATTTTATTTATTTTTTTTAGGTAATCTCTACACCCAGTGTGGGGCTTGAACTCACAACCCCAAGATCAAGAGTTGCATGCTCTACTGACTAAGCCAGCCAGGTGCCCCAGAGCTTTCTTCTTATTTGACAAATTCCGGAGCAAAATGAGGGGTAAAATCCTCAATACTTTCTTTTTTTTTTTTTTTTTAAAGATTTATTTATTTATTTGAGAGAGAAAGAGCATGCAAGCAGGGGGAGGGGCAGAGGGAGAGAGAGAGGCAGACTCCTCGCTAACGCAGGGCTCCATTCCAGGACCCCGAGATCATGACCAGAGCCTAAATCAAGAGTCAGACGCTCAACGGACTGAGCCACCCAGGCACCCCCTAAATACTTTTAAGTAACTTTTCTGTAGTGCTTTTATAGTTCATCAAATGTTCTCACCTATTGTATAGACAACTTACATGAAGAAGGCGGCAGGAATGAGGCACACACACACACAAAAAGACTCAATCACTCACCAAATGAGGCCTATTTTCTATAAGAGCTACATATGCTGGACTGAATTCCTGCTTGTACCTGTGTGTCAAAGACATTATTCAGCAAAATTCCATACTGATGAGAGAGGCAATCAGAAAGCCAACGACAATCATGGATAACCTAAGGAATCAGAAGACAGAGTAATTAGATCCTGATTGCTAATCTTACTAGTGGGGGAATCAGCTTACACACTCACCTTCAAAATTCTCTTGTCTTCTAACACCATCTGAAGTCCATTGTTGAAAGCACGACTTCCCAGAAGGAAAATGTCAAATAAGTAAACTCGGCTATTTGTGGCCACCTACAATAGACCATTTAGACACACATATTATAGGATATAAAAGAACTAACGAAGGGGATCTGAGGATCAAGAAAGATATGTGATAAAATATTTCACATCCTCACTTTTAAAGAAAACAAAAGGCATTCAGTGATTCGTAGGGAAAACAACTTTAAATAGATCTTAAGAAGCTATCATTTGTGATCTTTTCTTTCTTTCTTTCTTCTTTTCCTTCCTTCCGTCCTTCCTTACGAGAGAGCATGAGCAGAGGGAGTGGGAGGGGGGAGAGAATCTCAAGCAGACTCCATGCCAAGTGCAGAGCCTGACATGGGGCTCAATCCCACGACCCCAAGATCATGACCTGAGCTGAAATCAAGAGTCAAACGCTTAATCAACTGAGCCACCTAGGGGCCCCTCATTGTGATTTTTCAATCACAGAAAGAGACAAGCTGGTGGATATAGCCTTTTGCTTTTTACAGTCCTAAATTTAATGTTTTACATCTCACCCATGACATTTTAATACTCAAAGGATTATAGGTTTAAGAGGAATGAACAGCATTTCATTGCTGATAACACAACATGCTATTTCTCTGAGTCTCATAATATGCAGGGTTGTGTTGGGTGTTACATAAAATTACTCATAAGAGAAGATCCCTGCTCTCTAGCAGTTTTTTTAAAGAAGATTTTACTAATTTATTTGAAAGAGAGAGAGAGAGCATGAGCAAGGGGAGAGGAAGAAGCAGACTCCCCTGCTCAGCAGGGAGCCCGACTCAGGGCTCAATCCCAGGACACTGGGATCATGACCTGAGCCAAAGGCAGATGCTTAACTGACTGAACCACCCAGGCACCCCTCTCTAGCAGTTTTCGATAGGTAACAAATAAACTGACACAAATGGTAGGATGTGAGACACTGTTTTTTTAGATCAATTTTATACAATCATAAGAATTTTAGATTGTTTCTGATCATAAAATTCACAAAGGCAGTACTATAGCTGGATCATCTACTGAGTCAGGGAAGGAAGGCAAAGAGACCCTAATGGGTCTACAGAGCCAGCGACAGGGCAGTCTGATGTCATCTTTGTCATTTCAGGAGATAAGTGTTGATACAGCTACAATTGCCAGGCATAACTGACACCCATTCTTGGACCTTTCATGTTGTTTGCTAGAACAGGACACCTAAAATAGTCACTCCTTGCTCTTTTTCTCTACCTCCTTAATTATAGAAACTGAATTTTTTCAGATTTTCAAAAAGTTTGAAAAATAATTCTCTGCTAGATTGCAAACTCTGTGAGAGGAGAGATTATGCTGGATTCACCACTATACATGCATCAACTAGAAAAGAACCACGCCCATGGATGGCTTAGACATTTCTTCAGTGAGCCAAGGCATGCCATACAATACTCCCTTCCATTTTTCATATGCAAACAATGTATATGGCTCTGATAATATGCATTCCAATCTATATCCTGCTTTCTTCCACTCATAACTTTGTAAACATTTTTCTACATTGCACTCATCATCAATTTTTGGCAGCTGCATAAGATCTATCAAACCTACAGTAATGTTTCCTATTTTTAACTACTTAAGTGGTTTCTGATTTTTCGCCAGAAAATGATGCCAAGATCACTAGGTTCTCACATATTTTTTTTTTGTATTTTGAATTATTTAGGGTAGATACCTCGATGTAGCCCTGAGAAGTGGGCAGACTGCCAATCATAATAAAGTTTATTCTCTCAGTAGGTGGAGGTAGGTCCCAACTCAAAGAATAGAAGACAGTGGTTGGGGATTCAGTCTGCTTTCTTGGCTCCCCCTCCGCTTAAAAACTGATGCTGCTGAGTTTGATCCAAAGGTGGCTGCCCAACCTATAGCTATTTGAGGCTCACTACGAACTTCTCTTGACACAATGGGGACCCTCACCTGACAACTCCCAGGCCCAGGAAAATGAAAATGATGTGGCAGAATTCTGCTGTGGAATGCTAACAACCGGAAAGAAAGACAAAAATTCTTCATATAAAAAAAAAAAATCTTCATATATATTTTTTTAAGATTTTATTTTCGGGGCATCTGGTCATTGGTACAGCGTGCAACTGCTTTTTTTTTTAAAGATTGTATTTATTTGACTGAGAGAGGAAACACAAACAGGAGGAGTGGGAGAAGGAGAAGCAGTCTTCCTGCGGAACAGGGAGCCCGATGCGGGGCTCAATCCCAGGACCCCGGGATCCCAGGACCCTGGGATCATGACCTGAGCTGAAGGCAGACGCTTAACGACTGAGCCCCTACAGTGTGCAACTCTTGATCTCAGGGTTGTGAGTTCAAGACCCACGTTGGGTGTAGAATTTACTTAAAAATTAAAGATTTTATTTTTAAGTAATCTCTATACCCAACATGGAAGTTGAACCCACAACCCCGAGATCAAGAGTAGCAAACTCCACTGACTAAGCTAGCTAGCCGCCCCTAAAATTCTTCACATATCTAAGGTGAGAGAAAAGAGCAGGGAAAGACCTCAAGCAGAGCCTGTGAGACAGCAATGATGATTATAAAAGTGAACCTATGAAGAGACAGAAGCTCTTTCCTCTTGAAAAGAATAAACTCAGTACTAGAAAAGTAAAAGACATTCCAAACAAGTTATAGGATAGTGACACTGAGGTGACATAAAGAAGAAAATTAAAATCAATTTGTCAGGGGCGCTTGGGTGGCTCAGTCATTAAGCGTCTGCCTTCGGCTCAGGTCATGATCCCAGGGTCCTGGGATCGAGCCCTGCATCGGGCTCCCTGCTCAGCGGGAAGCCTGCTTCTCCCTCTCCCACTCCCCCTGCTTGTGTTCCTGCTCTCCCTATCGCTCTCTGTCAAATAAACAAATAAAATCTTTAAAAAAAAAATCAGTTTGTCAGTGAATCCACAATTATTTCAAAATAAAAAGCTGAAAATATCTTTTACCTGAAGCCAACATAGTTTCCCATGACGACACACATTAGCACCTTCGGCTGCCACACTCAGGACACTCTGCTTCTTGATGTGGAGCATCTGGTGAGAAAAAAAAAAAAAAAGGAAGGAAATCTCCAGAGAATAAATGTTGCGATTATGACATCATGAATGGCACAAGTAAAATGGCTAGCAATTAACAAAGTGGTTAATAGGGACACCTGAGTGGCTCAGTTGGTTAAGCGTCTGCCTTCAGCTCAGGTCATGATCCCGGGGTCCTGGGATCTAGCCCCACGTTGGGTTCCCTGCTCTGGGGAGAACCTGCTTCCCCCTTTCCCTCTGCCTGCCGCTCTGCCTACTTGTGCACTCTATCTCTGTCAAATAAATAAAATCTTTAAAAAAAAACCCAAAGTGGATAATATGTTTTAAACTTACAAAACTGGACTAATCCAAAACACAAGTCAGCTTCTCTTTTTCACACTCACACACACACACACACAGAGAGCACACTGAATATTTCTAATTTCTTTTTTGCTTTTGCAAAATTATAACACAACTGGAAAATAAATCATTCATATCCTAAATGCTAATAGAAGTTGAAAACTCAGGTACCTTGTGTTACCACTTTTGCTACAGCAAAAAATTTCTATCTTTATGACCAGATTCTTCATGCAAAGAACAGTGCCCCAACACAGGGCAATTTACTGTACCTGTAGGGAACTCATATAGTGGCTGATTCCCACAGTTTATACTATTTAGAATGAGAGAAACAAGAACTCAACAGGTCCCTTAAAGTCTTAGATTCATTAAGTTACTCAAAACTGATATAGTAGTATTCCAGGAACACATGCTGATCTTTGATTATAATCTTATCCTATTTCAAAACATTATATCATTCTTTTTTTTTTTAAAGATTTTTATTTATTTATTTGACAGAGAGAGACACAGCGAGAGAGGGAACACAAGCAGGGGGAGTGGGAGAGGGAGAAGCAGGCTTCCCGCGGAGCAGGGAGCACGATGCGGGACTCGATCCCAGGACCCTGGGATCAGGACCTGAGCCAAAGGCAGACGCTTAACGACTGAGCCACCCAGGTGCCCCAAAACATTATATCATTCTAAAATCCTTAACCCATAATCTATGAAAATACCTACACGATACAAGATTCTCCCCATTTTACAGGTAGGTAAACTACTCGAGAAAGAAGGGCATGGTAACTTTCACTAACACGATATCTTCCTTTAGTGAGCATAGAGTGTTTCTACATTGAGTATTTTCCATCAATGATGAAAAAGGGGAACTGAATTTCAGTTCTACCCTCAACCAACAGCAAGAAGGCTGTGGAACTGGGAACAAAAGCTGCACTTTTTATTGACAAGACTTTCCAACTACCTCTTCAAATTTCTGGTTTCTTACCTCATTTTTTGTTGTTGTCGTTGGACCCTTTGAAAAATCTTTTGATATATAAAGAATTCTTACAATACAATTAAAATATGGGCAAAAGGGGCACCTCGGTGGCTCAGCTGTCAAGTGTTTGACTCTTGATCTCAGCTCAGGTCTTGAACTCAGGGTCATGAGTTTAAGCCTCATGTTGGGCTCCACGCTGGGTATGGAGGCTCCTTAAAAAAAAAAAAAAAAAAAAAAGGCAAAGGAGGAGCACCAGGCCAGCTCAGTTGGTAAAGCATGTGACTCTTAATCTCAGGGTTGTGAGTTTAAGGCCCACATTGGGAGTAGAGCCTACTTAAAAAATGGGCAAAGGAATAGACATTTCTCCAAAGAAGATATATAAACATCCAATAAGCACATGAAAAATGCTCTACATTATTAGCCATCAGGGAAATGTAAATCAAAACCACTGAGATACCACTTCACACCACTAAGGTAGTTAAAATCAAAATGACAGATAACAAGTGTTGGTGAGAATGTGGAGAAGTTGGAATCCTGCTGGTGGGGTGTAAAACAGTGTAGCAGCTTTGGAAAACAATGGCCAATCCTCAAAATGTTAAACACAGAGTTATTATATGACCCAGCAATTCCACTCCTAAGTATCTATCCCAGAGAAATGAAAACATATGTGCTAACAAAAGCTTGTACATGAATGTTCATTGCAGCATTATTCATAATAGCCATAAAGTAGAAGAACCCAAATGGTGAAAGGATAAAATATGGTATATCCATATAAAAGAATGTTATTTGGCAACAGAAATAAGTGAAATTTACTGATACATGTTATAACTCAGATCAACCATGAAAACATGCTAAGCAACAGAAACCAGTCACAAATGACCACATATTGTATGATCTCATTTACATGAAATGTCCTAGGGGCCCCTGGGTGGCTCAGTCAGTTAAGTGTCTGACTCTTGGTTTCGGCTCAGGTCATGATCACAGGGTTGTGAGATGGAGCCCCTCCTCAGGCTTTGCACAGGGCATGGAGCCTGCTTAAGATTCTCTCTCTCCCTTGCCTTCTGCCCCTCCCCCGCTCACATGTGCATGCTCTCTCTCTAAATAAAAATAAAAATAATATGTGAAATGTCCTAAACAGGCAAATCCATAGAGGCAAAAAATAGATTATTGGTTGCCAAGGGCTGGGGGATGAGGGGAGGCATGGAGGTGACAGTTATGAAGTCTAGGGTTTCTTTTGTTGGTATCAAAAATGTTCTAGGGGCACCTGGCTGGCTCCAGCAGTAGAGCGTGTGACTCTTGATCTCAGGGTTGTGAGTTCAAGTTATACGGTGGGTGTAGAGATTACTTTAAAAACAAAACAAAAATCTTAAAAAAAAAAAGTTCTAAAATTCATTGTGATGGATGTACAACTCTGTGAATATGCTAAAATCCAGTGAACTATACATTTTAAATCGGTGAATTTAATGGTATGTGAACTGTATCTCACTTAAGTGGTTAGAGAAAAAAGAATCTGTGGAAAGCTAACTCTCCCTTAAAGAAATGCATAAGCTTGCGTCTACAGGAAGCTTCATGACCCCCCTGTGAACTGTATGCTAGGCTGAATAGTTACTGTCATGTCTGAAATTCATAAATGATTCTAGAGAAATTGCCTAAACAGAGCATGTAGAATGGACTTTTAAAAATATAAGTAAAAATATTTCAGACTCTCCTCTAAAACTGCCAATGGCTTTCCTTCTTACTCAAGTCAAACTCAAACTCCTTACAATGTCCAAAAAACCCTACCTGATCTGCCTTCTGACCACTTCCATTTCCTAATCACTCTTCCTCACTGTGGTCCTGCCTCCCTGCTGTTCCTCTACACAAGTTAAGTGTGCTTCAGCCTCAGGGCCTCTGCACTTGCTAATCATGCTTTTTAAAAGTTCTTTAGCTGAATATCTACATGACTAGCTCTGTTACTTCTTTCAAACGTCTGTTCCAATGTCACCTCTTCACAAAGATTTTCTCTGTCCACCCTACCTAAAATAGGAACTCCTTGTTCCTCTACTCTTCAAACCACACTTTATTTTTCTTCATAACACTTATCACCAGTTGGTAGACAGTTGTTTGTTTATTTTCTTGCAATAAAATGTAAACTCCTGGGGGTGCCTGGCTGGATCAGTCAGAAGACCATGCAATTCTTGATCTTGGGGTTGTGGGTTCATGCCCCACACTGGGTGTAGTGATTAAATACATAAATAAATCTTGAAAAAAAATAAAATGTAAACTCCTTGATGGTTAGAACTTTGTCTTTATTATTATTTTACCCTAGACTTCAGAACAATACCTGACATTTAGCAGGCACTCAGATATTTTTTTTTTTAAAGATTTTTATTTATTTATTTGTCAGAGAGAGAGAGAGAGAGAGCACAAGCAGGGGGAGCAGTAGAGGGAGAGGGAGAAGCAGGCTCCTCACTGAGCAAGGAGCCGGATGTGGGACTCGATCCCAGGACCCCGGGATCATGACCTGAGCCGAAGGCAGACGCTTAACGACTGAGCCACCCAGGCGTCCCAGGCACTCAGATATTTTATTGGGAATTTATTAGGGAAAGCATCAATGATCTTATAGTAAGAAATTTATGAGATATAAACATGATACCCATATACAGACAATACTCGGAATGATCAAGAGCAATACTTACTGCAGCACCAAACTTCTGCTGGAATTGATCAATGACTGTATATGTCACCTCCTCTTCCTCTGCAGGAGAATGATGGTAATAGACATATTTGTCTTCCTTGGCAATAGAATAGCCCTCCCACTCATTTTAGCCATCCTCATAAACTCCTCCTCTATTGCAGCTCAAAGGTCTAGTGTTATTTCATTATCACCTGTGTCAGCCCAACACACAGTGACCACTCTAGCATCCTGTTTCTCAAATGAGAATAAAAGCCCCACCAATGATAATCTTGTGAATTAGACTATTTAATCATTTCCTGTGAAAATCCAGTAATGTTTCCTTCCTCATAGATTTATGTCTTAAATACTTCAAGACATGCACTTTTAAAAGGATGTTCATAATAAAAAATAATGGTTTAAAATAAATCAGTCCTGGAGACGGGCCATAGTTCACACTTTTGGAATTCTCTGGGTCCTTAATTATGGTTTTAAATCATGTAATTTAAAAGATTAGAGGTATAGCATACCATATTGTTTCTCTTCATCTCCAACTTCTAAAACTTAGGAGTGGCAGAGCACACAGTCCACATACCTCCTCTTCTCTATCCATACTCACTCTCCTACTGATCTCATCTAGTCTCAAGACTGTAAATATCATCTATCGGCAAATTCTTACATTTGTATCTCCATCTCAGACCTTTCTCCTCCTCTCTAGGCTGTACATTCAAACTTCGGTGGACCTAAACTCGTAATCATCTTCCCAAAACCTGTTCTGCCCAGAATTGTTCCCACGTCAGCTGAAGAGCACTCCATACTTCAGGCTACTCAGACCCAAACCCCCAAAGTCACCCTTGATTCTCCTCTTTCACATCCACATCTAATACACCAGTACACTGTGTTGGCTACACCTCAACATACAGCCAGAAGTCCACTACCTTTCACCAACCATACTGCTACCACTACGGTCCAAGCCACCATATCAATTTGCCTTAAAATGATTTCAATAGCCTAACAGGTATTCACGCTTTTACCTTCCTCCTCCTCTCAGTACCCACACAGTATCTAGAGTAACTTTGTTAAAACAGAAGTCAGATCATGTTACTCTTCTGCTCAAAACTATGCAATAGGAAGTAGAAGTATTTTTAAAAATACCATTGATAATAGTATAAAATATGAAATACTTAGGGATAAATACAGCAAAAGATGTATAAGACTTATACACCGAGAACTACAAAACACTGTTGAGAAATTAAAGATCTCATAGAGGGATATACTGGGTTAATAGATCGGAATACTCAATATTGTTAAGATGCCAATATTCCCCAAACTGATGTATCGATTCATTGCAATCCCGGTAAAAATTCCAGTGGATTTTTTTTTTTGTAGAAATTGGCAACCTGATTCTAAAATTCATAGGGAAATGAATAGGGAAAAAATACCAAATAGCCAAAACAATTCTGAAAAAGAACAAAGTTGGAGAACTAACACTACCAGATTTTAAGATCTATCATCAATCAACAGTAAACAAAAAGTCTAAAAAAAAACAAAAGAAACAGTAAACAGTCTATAGTAGACATCTACAATGATCTCCATGGTATGCCTACCCCACTTCATCTCCAACTACCTCTTCTTGCTCCAACTGCACTGATCACAGTGATCTGGCTGTTCCTTCAAGATCCTGGCATGTTCCTATCTCCGGGCCTTTATATTCATTCTTCTTTCTGCCTAAAAAACATTTCCCCCAGATATCCACACAGCTCAATCCCTCATCTCCTTCAGGCTTTTGCTCAAATGTCACCATTTTTGTAAGGCCTGTCCCGAACACCCTAAAATTGTAAAACCACCCTCTTCACACACTTCTCTTCCTTCTATTTTTTTCTCCTTAGCATTTGGCACTAGCATATTATATATTATCCTCCTTTATCTTATTTAGTGTCTGTTTCCTGCACCAGAACTCAGTGAGGGCAGAGATACCACATTTTGGTATCTCCAATGTCTGGCATATAGTGTGCCCTCAATTATTAAATAAATAAATGAATCACAATATTTTAACTTAATTCAGAGCCTAGAAGCAATGGCCTAGCTGAGCATTCCATACAGAACCTTAACTCAGAGTTATGCCAACTCTAAAGAGCTGTGAACTACAATGAAGAGAGCCTAGACAATTCAGAGCCCCAGTACTCACCTGATGGGCTGTACCTGAGGTCACTCAGCAGAGAGGTGGTTAGTGCCTCAGAGGCAGGAGAAAGAGGCTCACGTATGTTTAGGTCTTCACCTTTATCCATCCTGGTTCTTTCTGTATTTAGACTATGCTTACAAAAAACAACACTCAGATGAACTTGTTCTTTGTTGCTGATGCTTACACAGATTTTGCCACACATCAGTGGTAAGAATCTGGACCTCCATTTCATAGAGGACCCACTCATCCACCGCTTTTACACTGATTTGAAGATAACATCTAAAGATGGAAGCAAATATCCATCTATTTCTTCTCATTTCTATTACCTCGGTCCACTTGAGGAATTACACAGCTAATGAATTAGAGGTAAGTCTTTCTACCCTAATGTGTACATTTGAGTAAAATCATCATTAAGGAAATTATTCCACCATACCTGACAGAAGATGCCTTTTCTCTCATCACACCTTGTTCTACTTCATCCAGTAGTTCCACTGTAAAATAACCAAATGGCTTCCAACAGTTTTCAATCTGAACCCAATTAATCACTCCCCTGTCTCCTTCTACCACAGTCTGACTAGGTACCACACACAGTAACTAGAAATGAAATGTTAGTCCATGGAGGTCTTCACTGGCCAGCAATAAAGAGCAGAAGAGTCTATCCAAAGTACTGAAGATGCCTAACATTATGTTCCTACCTAGCTTCGCTGGTCATTCAGCAGGATTAGAAAGCTCTCTACATGTTCCAAGGCACCTCGTAGTCATACAGATTGGTTCTAGAGATAGATTTTCTTCCCTATTCATTCCCACCATGATGCATCTTCCCTCACACCGTGTACTGTTTGGGGGTTTCCTCTCAGATCCTTCCCAGATCGGTCCCTTTCACTCTCACAGGCTGGAGCGGTAGCAGCTCAGTGATGTGAGTTTTGCACAGTGGCAGTACCGTAGCCAATGAGATTTATCTGAGGCTCCACGGTTGCAAATTGAAACAGTTCAGCAACATGAAAGGCAATAGAAGCTAGACTAGAAGTCGCCAAAGAAACACGAAACATTCCACAGATTCTGAACATTTTTATTTTTAACCTAACAGTGCAGGGAATGTAGAGCAATACTGCATATCATTGATTCTAAGATGCACATTTTAAACAACTCTGATATCAGGTATGATTTACAGTAAGTGCACGTAACAGTTTAATTGGCAGCTACTTTTTCTTTCTTGGGATGTGAAAGGTAATAGTATAATATATAATTAATGGCACTTTAGAGTCAATTAAGTATACTTAGGTACTACTCAGAGAAGATCCACTCAGGGGCCACTATATTTCCAAATGTCTCTTTCCCCTGCACTATCGGGGTCTTGAATCTGGGGCAGAGAAAGTGAAAGTCACTAAAAATACTGACTAGTCAATTATTATTCTTCATTTTACTTATTTATTTTTGTTTCAAGGTTTTATTTAAATTCCAGTTAATATTCTTCTTCATTTTAATAATTCTTTTTTTTTTTAAAGATTTTATTTATTTATTCATGAGAGACAGAGGAGGAGAGAGAGAGAGAGAGAAGCAGAGGGAGAAGCAGGCTCCCAAGGAGCAGGGAGCCCGATGCGGGACTCTATCCCAGGATTCTGGGATCATGACCTGAGCCGAAGGCAGACGCTTAACCATCTGAGCCACCCAGGCTCCCCATTTTAATAATTCTTATTCAAAGTGCTTTTCAGGGAGAGTGTAAAAAGTCTCAATCCATGGCTGACTGAACCACAGGGCAAAGAAGGAGAAGGCTGTCCTATGAACTAAAAATTATGAACAAAGGCCAAGTCTTGAGAATCTAGAAAGAGATGAAATTCATGTATACAGTTCACAAAACTGGCCTTCTTTGAAGTTAGGGAGATGGTAGTAGTGATTCCTTTGCTTCTCTTTACAAACCCATCCACAGCCTAGCTCTGATCCAGTGCAAAGGCTAATAGCTAAAGCACAGTAAGAATTCCACTACAGGGGGAGGGGGGCGCCAGGTTGGCTTAGTTGGTAGAGCATGGGACTCCTGATCTCGGGGTTGTGAGTTTGAACCCCACGTCAGGGGTAGAGGTTACTTAAAAATCTTAAAAAAAAAAAAAAAAGAATCCCACTACTACCACCACCCTCAAAGCCATTATAAAAAGGTGTTATGGGACAAAGAGTGTTTATAGTAGCATACTCCATGAGAAAGGACCCTTGGATAGCTGTCTGGAACTGTCTGCCTTGAAATAAGTCTGGATTGGCAGTCATTAATTTGGTGAGACTTTCATCTCTCTCTCAATTCTACCTCCCTCACAAAACAAAGTAATCTTTCAAGCGGCGGTAGTCTCTGGTCTACAGGAGTCCTTTCCTTTCCTCCTACCTGCCCCACTGGTAAGAAATGAACAACTCTAGAAGGTCCCAGATCTCCCGCTCTCCTCACTCCTCTACCCTGCACTGATCTTTACTCCTCCTTGGAGGGCTTTCTGCTTACGAGTTCTTCAAACTAAGAACAGTTCTTGCTCCCCTTTTCTTTTATCCTATTTGGCTTGGCTGAAGCACACTGACCAGAAGAGCTTCCATATCTACTCTTCTTGGCAAACAGTTGGACCTACTCTTGTTAAGTGGCTTTTGCTGGCAGAAATGAAGAAGAGAGCTGCATCTTGCAATTCCAAAATCCAAAAATCTCTGAAAACTAAAAACTGTCTGTACCTCTTTTGGCAGCAAAACTGACATAATATTTATAGTCCTATTTTATTCCATTTAGAATGATTATCCACGTTTCCCTGTAGAAATGTGTTTTATTAGAGTGTTTCCCAGACCTGCTTGAGATGTTATATAATATAAAGAGTATACATTGTGTTAGATTTTCCAAAAATCCAGATTTCTGAATTCTGAAACATTTGGCCCCCAGGGTTCAGATAAGGGACAGTGAATGTACTGTGACTCCATAGTGTTAAATTCAATTGCTGAGCAAGACAATTCCTTGCTGTTCAGATTCCTAACTACTCACTGGCTGAGTCTCTAGTAACGAGTACCAGCAGTCCTCACATTGTAAAACCAAGATGATTAAAATTCTCTATGACTATTCTGCTCATAGTACCCACTGAAAAAGTAAGATAAAGGTCAATTCTCAAATACCAACTAAAAGAGTTCGTAAGTGCAATATTAAAGGCAATACAACATTTCATATTTTTGCAAATACTGGAATAAGGCAGAGCAGCGAGTTTACTATTACGGTAAATCCCAATACCCACAGTCATGGAACATGCAGCTCTCACCGTTCAGAATCTCATGCCCAAAAAACATCTTCACTCCTGGAACACTTCGACCAGTCTCCACATTCTTCACTGTTACAGAAAACGATTCATTCAGTTAATAAAAAATAGTATTTCCCTAAAATTGTAAGAAAATAATGCCTCTCAAAAGTGCCATATCTAGGGGTGCCAGGGTGGCTCAGTTGGTTAAGTGTCCAGCTCTTGGTTTCGGCTTGGGTCATGATTTTAGGGTCCTGAGATCAAGCCCTGTGTTGGGCTCTGCACTCAGTGCAGAGTCTGCTTGAGGATTTTCTCCCTTTCCCTTTTCCTCTGCCCCTCCCTCCACTCACTGACTCTATCTCTCAAATAAATAAATAAATCTTTAAAAAGTGCCATATCTGAGTTTTATAAAAATCCCCAAATTATTTTCCCCAAGAAATGAAGAGTCAATAATAAATTACAAAGCTATAGCCTTGAAACAAGTAGGATAAAGAACAGAGAACCTCAGAATCCGAGATGAACCTAAAGGGCAGGAGTATGGTGAATTTAAACTTATCCCAAGACTATTCTAAGGCCCTTGAGGCTCAGGACTACCTATTATATTTCTATTGATTTTTACTCCACCTAATTCCAGATAAAATTTTAAGGCAGCTGACTACTTCTAGAGTCCATACCCTGTTTCATGCCACGCTACATGCTCAAAAATACTGTCAAGGACAATAACCCAACTCCTGGCCCAAATATAGAGGCTCTTCTGTGAACAGGTAGGAGGTTAGGAGAAGTTTAGATGTCATATCTACAATATGGTGTCATTTCTCTAGATGTAAGTGCTCCCAGGGCTGTATATTTCCGTATCGCTCAGCAATCCAAAATAATTCAGTTTCACCCTCACTGTTCCACTGAATATATTCTTACTGAGGTCAAAAATCACAACCGCCTAGTTTTCTTTTTTTTTTTTAAAGATTTTATTTATTTATATGACAGAGAGAGAGGGAGAGAGAGAGCATGAGCAGGGGGAGGGGAAGAGGGAGAGGGAGAAACAGGCTCACCGATGAGCAGGGAGCCGGAGGTGGGGCTTGATCCCAGGTAACCTGAGCCTACGGCAGAGGCTTAACTGACTAAGCCACCCAGGCACCCACAACTGCCTATTTTTCAAATCCAAAAAGAAGTTTATAGTCTTATCATCCTTGGCTCCCATGTATCCTTTGACAATACAGTTCTTTCCTTTCTTCTTTGGCTTATGGGACATATCTCAAGTTTAGTTCTTTTCCTACTAATTTCCTAGAGCTACCATACTGAGCACTGACTCAGAGCTAGGCACCATGCTAATTATTTGCCTACATTTAATTCTCCAGTAACATAACAAGAGAGGTATTTCATTATCTATGTTATGGAGGAATCTGAGACTCAGAAAGGTTGAATAACTTGGTCAAGGTCACACTGCTAATAAAAGATGGAGTCAGGATTCAAACCCAGGCCTCAGGTATTTTAATATGCAACTATGAACCAATGTTACATTGTCTCCCTCATTTGCTCCTTCCTGTCTCTTCAACTGCCTCCACCACCTCTGACAACCTGATCTCCCCATTTCTCTTCTTTCCTTTTCCTTCCTTCCTTCCTTCCTTTGATGTAAGTAATCTCTACACCCAATGTAGGGCTCAAACTCACCACCCTGAGATCAAGAGTCACATGCTCTTCGGACTGAACCAACCAGGCACCCCCACATCCACTATTTTTACAGCACAGATTATTTCTCTGAGCTCCACTCATATTTCCAACTGACTAATAGCAGACTTACTCTAAGATTCTCAAATTGAAATCATTATCTTCTCCCAGTAACCAACAAACTTCCTCTTCCCATTTCTATCAACTAATAACAGTACTATATACCTAATCTCCTGAGTCATAAATGTAGTAATCATTTTCCATTGCTATTTATTTATTTAAGAGCACATGTTGCAGGGTTGGGGAGAGGGAGAGAGAGAATCTTAAGCAGGCTCCACGTTCAGTGTAGAACCTGATGTGGGGTTCAATCTTATAACCCTGAGATCATGACCTGAGCCAAAATTAAGAGTTGGATGCTTAACTGACTGAGCCACCCAGGCACCCTTCCATTGCTCTTTAATTATCTAATTGATTACCAAGTTACTTAGCCCATCTCTTACGTATTTCTAAAATCTGCCTTCTCTTTTCCATTCCTTGCTGAGCCTTAGCTCTGACCCCTATCATGTTCCCTTTATTGGATCCCTTGATTGTCAAAATAGTTCCATCTATGCTCTTTGCCTCTAGTTTCTCCCTACTTCAGTCCTTCCTTCACATTGTTGTCATAGTGAAAATACTCCCTGCCTTGTCCAAATAGTACCTAAAATTAGTAAACAAGTATAAAGAAATATTTTCAACTTCTTTAGGAATGTTTTTTAAACATGCCAAGATGAAATATCATTTTTTATGAAATATCATTTTTTACCTATAAAACTAGCAAAAATTTAAGAAAGATACACATCAGCATTTTTTTTTTTTTTTTTAAATCCAATGTTAGGGGCACCTGGATGGCTCAGCTGGTTAAGCGTCTGCCTTTGGCTCAGATCATGATCTCAAGGTCCTGGGATAGAGCCCCACCTCAGCTCTGCCAGAGCATGGAGCCTGCTTAAGATTCTTTCTCCCTCTGCCCCTCCCCCCTGCTCACGTGCACTTTCTCTAAAAAAAAGAAAAAAAATTAAAAACATAAAAAGCTTAGCCATTAAATTGGAGTTTCAAATAACATGAGAAAATGCTTTTTATCATGTTAAGTAAAAAAATATATAATATACCTAACTTAATTATGTCAACTATATAAAATCTATGTAATTAAAGACTAGAGAGAAATATACCAAAATATTTCATTTAGACTGAATGCTTTGTTGAACAAGCATGTGGCATATCTTGATTGTTTTCAGCTCAATATCATTTATCCAGGCTAGCAACGAGCTTAGTCTCCCCACAGACAATGGTGGTTTCTTGGACCTCCAGGGCATCTCTTTAAGGGGACTGACTGGGGGGGGGGACACACACCCTCCTATCCCTCTTTCCTCTTCCTCCTATCTGTAACATTATCTTGAGGTTTAAAGCCATGAAGATGGTAGAGCAGAAAGATGGATAATCCTGAATCTCTGCCAACTCTGGGGAGACTCACAGCAGCCCTGGGAAGCCTGCCTTCTTTTATATAAGAGAATAAACTCCTACTTTGTTTAAGCCACTGGACATAATCTGTTTCCAGCAGCTAAGCATGGTTCCTAAATAACACAGCATTAACAATTTAAGGCAACGAGTTTGAAAACTTAGATGCCTCCCACTTAAAAATCTTTCAAATTGTGGGGTGTTTTGCTGGCTAACAGCAGCAGAGAGTAGAGCAAGCAACTCTTGATCTCATGGTCATGAGTTCAGGCCCCACACTAGGCCTAGAGCCCACTTTTTAAAAAATGTATCTTTCAGGACGCCTGGGTGGCTCAGTCATTAAGCGTCTGCCTTCAGCTTAGGTCATGATCCCAGGGTCCTGGGATCGAGTCCCACATTGGGCTCCTTGCTCAGTGAGGAGCCTTCTTATCCCTCTCCCTCTGCTGCTCCCCCTACTTGTGCTCTCTCTCTCTCTGACAAATAAATAAATAAAAATCTTTAAAAAAAAGATATCTTTCAAATTGTTCCTCATTGCTTTCAGAAGTGTCCAAATGCTACAATACGTTAAGGCCTTCTGATCAGTCCCATACCTACTTCTCCAGCCTTAAATCTCACCACAGCCCCATAAGGAAATTTACTTAGGTTTTCTGAATGAACCAAGTTTTCACGTCTCTACATTTTTTGTACATGGTGCTACTTCTGCGTAAAACTACGGTTCTCTCAAAGTGTGGTTCTCCAGCTGAGCGTCAGCGTCACCAGGAAACTTGTTAGAAATATAAGTTCTTGGGCCCCACCCCAGACCTTAAGAATCAGAAACTCTTAGAGGGTGGCCCAGCAATCTGTGTTTTAACAAGTCCCCCAGGTGATTCTGATACACAGATGAAGTTTGAGAACCACTGGCTTAAAACACTTTCTACTCTTTTCCCATCCAGCTAAATCTTACTCACCTTTGGGACACCTTCCCCACTATCCTAACCCTACCACTCCCAGATCTAAATTAACTGAAGCTTTGTGTTTCCATAGCATCTTGTGCATCTATCAGAGAGAATATCACACTGCATTATACCTTTCTACTTGCTTATCTGTCTCTTTACCAGATTAAGTTTTTTTAAGAACAGGGACCATGTTGGGGCACCTGGGTGGCTCAGTCGTTAAGCGTCTGCCTTCGGCTCAGGTCATGATCCCAGGGTCCTGGGATCAAGCCCCGCATTGGGCTCCCTGCTCTGCGGGAAGTCTACTTCTCCCTCTCCCTCTCCCCCTGCTTGTGTTCCTTCTCTCGCTGTCTCTCTCTGTCAAATAAATAAGTAAAATCTTTAAAAAAAAAAAAAACAGGGACCATGTTATTCTTATCTATATCCCTGGTATCTATCACAGTGCCTGTGATACAAAACTATCAATAAATGATTACTGAATGAATTAATATTTCAAAAGTCTGACGTAGTCCCACCCCGGTCCACAAAGGTCTATTTTAACCTATAATATGGCTTAACAATAACACTAATCTCTCAAATGCCATTTATACATGTTTCAATTGTGAACTTGAAACGTATGCCAGGTAAACAACTACCCTAGCAAGTCTATATTGTAGATGAATAAAAACCACATATTGGATCTTAAAGATGAACACACGTAGGAACTAGGAGGGTGGTACACCCAGAGGAGGCATGGAAACTCTGAGCTCCTTCCCACAGACCTTGGCCTATGCATCTCTTCCACTTGGCTGTTCCTGAGTTGCGTCTCTTACAATGAACAGAACTGAAGCTGGGAGGTGTAGAGGTTACCTTGTGACCATGAAGGTAATACATGATCCCTGAAGTGGCAAAAACCACAAGATACCTGGTCCCTCCTGGCATCTTTGAGCCACTGCACTATTCCTTAGCAGCCTACCTCTGGACATCTTTTTGCATGACAAAAATTAACCCCTGCCTTTGTGAATTTATCTGTTGAAGCCAAAAGTAATTCTATCTAGTAGAGTGGTTATTTTTAATTTCAATATGCATATAGTAAGAAATTATAAGCAGCACCCAATGAAAAAGAATCTATACACCGAAAATTTCCACTATCATGTCAATAAAAGTATAAAAGTGGGGACAAGCCTGCAGATGCAGCTATGTTTTCTGTTAGGGAAAATAGCATTCTAATCTTCCTCTTAACTCTTAGAATAGGAAAGCCTCCCTCCCAGTTGCTAATGAAGCCCCCAGAGCCCTCACCCAAACTTAACTATTAATTTCTTTCTTTTTTTTACTATTAATTTCTTAAAGGCAGAAGATAATGACAAATAAAATTAGACCTTTCTTCAGGACAACAATCTTGTTAGGGTCCACATGCTGGAGTACTCCCTCAAATATGCCACAAACCAACGTGAGTTTCACCCTTCTCCACAAAATCTGATTGAGGAAATGGTAGTCACTGCTGGGATCCATGCTATTTGATTCCAAAAGCAGTCTTCAAAAAATCTTCTTTAAGTATCCAAACACTTGAAAATTTTTAAAAGAGATCTAGGATTTAAAAAATATTTTGGGGGAATGAGGTTATTTTCCCTTTTCACATACCTGGAAGGGACAAGAAAAAGAAAAATATGAGAGTAATTCAGTTTTGCTCATCTTTTCAGAACAATAATGAGAAAAGGACTATTGCAAGCATCAACTCTAATTTATACATGGGAAACTGAAAGCCCTAAAACTTCAGGCACTGTAGGTTTGCCTTCTTTGTCTATAAAATAGGGTAATACTACCTTTCATACCTTAGCTAAATGGAACAAGCAGAACATTTTAGAGGCTTTTAAAATGGCACATACGTATATCTTTTTAACACCAACCAATAAAAAAAAAAGAGAGAGAGAGAGAGAGAAACTCTAAAATAACTAGGAAAAAAAAAACTGATGCTGGCAAAATATTTGCCAATACTTGCTACCATAAGCTGCTCACCCAGAAATATCTAGGATCTAAATTCTTCTGGCCTCTTCTACATTAGTAACATTTCCAGAATTTGACACTGTTACCAACCAAAGCATAAGTGACTTAGAACTATCACAATTTATGCATGACCAATCCGGCTGCCATGTCAGTGCCTTTGAAGGGAGACAACACTAGATCAGATAAGAGCCGGTCAATCATGAAAACAACTTAGCCTAGAACCTTGACCTCATGCTAAGTCGTCAAAACCGTAGGTAAAGCTTAAAAGTAGTTTAGGTACAAATGACTGTTGTTAGAATTTGATTCTTCCCTATCTCAAACCCGTTATGCACAAAGCAACACTCAGAAGGGTGAAAAGGCATTGAAGCCACAGGAAAAGAACTGGTTCACGGAGAGGGCTAAATTAGTTAACGGGTGGCTTAAACATTTTCAAGAAAACAAAATTATAAAAATAAAATGCAAAATTCCTCATTTTTAAGACAAAATAAGAAACTCCAAATAAACGGTGGGCCATACGCTAGGAATTCAATCTCGTCCACCGTTAGGTTATTTTTTAACGAAGGAAGTTTGGGAAATCCTGTCCCAGTTTCAGCCAAATGGTGACTTCCTCGAGCTTCATTAGAACTAAAAAAGGAGGTACTGCTGTTAAGGAAGAACTCTCGGGGAGTTCCAAGCCGGCGTTGGCGGTTATCAAAGGACAGAGACGAAAAAGAAAACAGGAGAAAAGTGCACGGGACTGAAAACCCACACCGACCAGCGGACGCCAGCCTGGCGCAACCAGAGGTCCCGGCTGTTTCCCGAGGAGCCAATCGGCGCGCACCCCGGAGGCTGGCTCCCGAGCGCCCCCAGCGGCGAGGAGGACGGAGGACCTACAGAAAAAAGGAGGAGGTGGAACTCCCGGCATGCAGTTCCCAAGAGACACACCCTAGAGTTGCCCCAAGAGACGTTTGCTCTATTTTTATGGTTTCTCTCTGCAATCCCTGCCACCTGTGGGTGGGGTTTCCACTTTCAGAGTTCTGTGAGAAACGGGTTGGCTACGCTGCCTGCCTCAGGTTAGTTCGTTATAAAACTGTGGGTCGATGGCGTTTCCCTTTTAACTGCGGTCGCTAGAGCCAGAGTGGCGTTGCCTTTTTAAGGCCGGTGGCATCACGCTTCCGGGGGCGTGGTCCGTCCTTAGGAATACCCGGCCCTGCGCTGGGCTGATTCATTCGGGGGCTGGAGCTGGAAGCGCCGACGTCGGCTCCTGCGCCGGGCGAAGCCTCGCTCCTCATTGGCTGGTTCTGGGGGACCGCCCTCCCCCTCTTGCCACCCCTGGGTTCCCTCCCGGGTCCGCAGTAGAAACACTGCCCTCTCGCATCTTGACCCCTGGGCCTTCCTCCCTTCCCTCCCGCCGCCGCCGTCGCTTCAGACGCCCCTGCTCCCGAAGGAGCTCCCGGTTCGGTGATGGGGTCTCGGGCTTCCACGTTACTGCGGGACGAAGAGCTCGAGGAGATCAAGAAGGAGACCGGCTGTGAGTTCGGGTAGGGGGTGGGAAAGCGGCCGGGCGCCTGTGGCTGGCCTCAGAACCGACGGCGGCTGTCGTTGAGGTCCGGAGTTGGGGTGCCCGGCCGTTGTCGGGTACTGGGCAGCCTCCAGTGCTGGAGCTTCGTGGCCGAGGGCTGAAGGACCTGTTCTTACGGCTTCTTGGAGCGGGGCTCTGGTTCCTGTGGGGCTGTCCTTCCCCTCATAGGCAGGAGTCGCGATCACCCTTAGCACAGGCACCGCTCTTTGCTCTTCCCCCTGCTCATGAAAGTCCCCGAACTCCTTTCTTTTATTTTCCTTCTCACTAACCTTGAATTCAGGAGCTCTGGATGGATCCTGTAGAAAACATAATCCGTTCCTATGATGTTTCTGGGCAAGCCCTTAAAATCACTGTCAGTTGCGGGAAATCACAAATTTTTTCCGCAACTGGAAAAATAAATCCAGAGAACAAGATCCTATAGTAAGGCTTTGGAAGACGTGACCTGGTGACAGGAGACCTTTAAAGAATGAGGGGTCTGAGAATATGAAACTTCTTTCATTCTGAACCTGTGGAGAAAAAAAAGCACGGATACTGTGACCACCAGTTTTTTACTTACACTGAGGATGGTTGCTGTCCTAATTTCAGATCTATTGATTTCTACTATGCTGGTGTACTTAATGCAGTCGCTATGGAAATTGGATGTGCTCCAAAATCTCAGTGCAAATTTGTACTAGGAACTGATTTTTTATAGTCCAGTCTCTTCCTCATTAACCTGAACATAGGGGCCACAGGGCTTTGGGAATTCAGAAGCTCTGTGTAACATCATCACACAATTTTGTATAGCCCTTGGTAATGAATACACTATTTTCTCAGTAATCCATTATGACTCTTGTATTTTACATAAGTTACGTAACTGTCTGAGCTCTGTCTCTTCGTCATAACCTGTCTTTAATGTGATGAGGTGACCAGTGAGTAACTCAGTGGCCCATATGCAGGTAATGTTGAAGGGTGCCAGGGGAGCTACAGAATTACACAGGCAGTGGTGGCCTGAGAGAAATTGAATGCTGTCCTGTGCTTTTGGACAAATTTAACTTTCTAGAATCTTCAATTTGAAAGGGATGTTAATCTAGCCCCACCCTTGTCAGATTGGTTTACTGCTTTTAGCATTCCCTAACAGATGGCCAGTAGCCTCTCCATAAATACCTTTAAGGATGATAAGCGCACCACCTACTGATTTTGGATGAAAGACAGAAAGTAGTTAGCTGGTTATAACGTATAATACTTGTTTGGCCACCTGACCTTATGGTCAATTGATGACTCATTGTGACTCTTTAAGAGTACAAATATAGGCAGTTTGGAGTCAGCAAGCATTTTGTTAAATTTTGTGGTCATGACCTCTGGCCACACTTGTGAATATAAGAACTACTTTAGGTCTAAGGTGACACCAGAGTTAAAGCATTCATACTTAAAATAGAAAGTCACATAATGAAGTGCAAGCCATAGTGAGGATGGGAAAAAGCTATTTTTGCCTCAAGATGAAGGGAGCACCAATCCCATTTGGGCTTATTTACATTTGACAAAATGGAAAGACCCTGGACTCTATAGGACTGGAGTTATTTTACTGTGTGGCTTGTGAAGGAACAGACCTACATACTTCTGGAAGACCTGTTTTCCTAGTTGCCAAAAAGTGCATCAAGCCTGAAGAATATTCTCAACCACAACCAGTACAAATGGATGTTAAGCCAGCAAGCCAAATGAGCAAGTAGTTACTGAATTTTTGCATTGTCTGTGTTTAGTACTATGCTAGGTACTCAAAGCAGATGGTGACAAAAGATGCCCATAGGAATTAGGATTAGCATTACGACATAAGGTAGCTGAAATGGTGTGCCATGCACCTTCAGACTCTGGGAAGACTGAGTCTGTGGGCTGGTCTTGGAGAGGATAGGAATAGGGCTCTGATACAGGCATGGATGAGTTAGATTTAGATAAATTAACCTAGGGCATTTTGGGTGGCTTCCAGAAGCATTCTCCCCCAGCCTGCTACACAGTCATTCCTCTGCCCTGGGAGTTGAGCCATCCCTTTATCTGGTTAGTGTCCATCAGCAGAGTTGTGTTTTTTTTTTTTTTAAGATTTTTATTTATTTGACAGCGAGAGAGGGAACACAAGCAGGGGGAGTGGGAGAGGGAGAAGCAGGCTCTCCGCTGAGAAGGGAGCCCTATATGGGGCTCGATCCCAGGACCCTGGGATCATGACCTGAGCCGAAGGCAGACGCTTAATGACTGAGCCACCCAGGCGCCCCAGCAGAGTTGATTTTTAAAGCAGTAATTTTAACATGATGCAAAAGGTTTAGAAGACTAAAAACAGATACCTGAGGGGGAGGTGGAGAAGTGGAATTTGCCCAATTTTCATCTGCTTCTTGTTCCATTGAGAGTTTAGGGAACTATCAATCAGAAACACTTCAAGTTAAGAACAAGTAATATGACATCTCACTACTCCCTTTGCCAGTAAGAAAATGTGGCATAATTGAGGAAAGCTGACTTTATAGTCAATATGAAAACTTTGCATTGGAATTGATGATTATATTTAAACATATTTTCCGTAAATCTAAATTGATTAGAATTCTTGCATGACTGGTTTAGCCAGTATTTGAAATGTAATCTCTCAAGTATTTGGCAGACTAATTCTAGGTAAGAATTACCTGTAAGCCTCAGTTTTGTCATCTGTAAATGGGAATAATAATAGTACCTACTGGGGCGCTTGGGTGGCTCAGATGGTTAAGCATCTGCCTTCGGCTCAGGTCGTGATTCCAGGGTCCTGGGATCGAGCCCCAGGTCAGGTTCCTGGCTCAGCAGGGAGCCTGCTTCTCCCTCTCCCTCTGTCTGCCCCCCTGCTCATGCTCTCTCTCTCTCTCTGTATCTCTGTGTCTCAAATGAATAAAATCTTAAAAAAAAAATAGTAGTACCTACTTCATAGGATTCTTATGAGGATTAAATGAGATAAATTATGTAAACTACTTAGAATAGTGCCTGATATATAAGTATCAGGTAAGTGTCAGCTATTATTTTGAACCATAGATAAGACTCATCTTACTGGGAAAATATTTGTATGTGCTAGTTATAAAACTATGTCTAGGGCTATATAAGTGGAGAGGTGACAGCATTTTATGCTTTTCCTATTTTCAGGGAGCATCGAACTAGAAATCCAGTCGTTTTCCCAACTCTATAGAAATAAACTTTTAAAGGAATAGACATCTTAATGTTTTTAACAGTTTAAAAAACATTGTCTAAAAAAATTAAAATATTTTTCTTTTTTTTGAGAGAGAGAGACTGGCAGCGTGGGGGAAGGGGAGGGGCAGACAGAGAGGGAGATAGAGAATCTTAAGAAGGCTCCATGCCCAGTTCGGAGCCCAATGCAGGGCTTGATCTCACAACCCTGAGATCATGACCTGAGCCAAAATCAAGAGTCCGATGCTTAACCACCTGAGCCACCCAGGCGCCCCTTAAAACATTTTGTGTTGCATAAAACATTTGCTATATTGTCTTTGTTCTGTTACCTTCTTTCACACATCAGCATTTTCGTATATTAAAGCCCAGCTGCATAAGTTATCACTGGGGGGAAATCACAACGGTCTTGGGAGTTTCTGTAATCTCCACTTAACTGTAGCTATAAACTCCTGTGAATTACTTAAAATCATTTTTAAAAAACAGCCGCTTAATCTGTGAGAAACAATTCAAACCAATGGAGTAGTAATGAATGCCCATTCGTTTAATTTAATTATTATTATTTTTTTTACATTCATTTAATTTTAGTCTCTAGTTCTGGTGTGTGTCATGTGGTATGGGGATGGTGTTGAACAGGTTTAGGAAGTAAGTTTTACAGGCTGGTGAGGTTTTGTTTGAGAAGGTATAGTGATGATAGAACTAGTGTGGGTTTTTCTGTAGTTTCGACAAAGAGCACAAGCCTGGCAAAGGCAATTGCTTGAGAATAATTTCCTGGACTAGAATGTACGTGGAAGTTCAACTTCAGGCTCCTGCTATCTCAAAATGCAAGGACCCCTTCATGGCCCTCACCTGCCAAGCCCTGTTGCCTGAAGGTGCTATCTTCTGGCTCCTCTTGAAATGGAAATGTACTTAAAACTAACACCTTTAGCTGGTTTGGGGTTAAGTGATTTGTAAAGCTATATACCTTTTCTCCCAAATTACTATGAAAAATTTGAAATATATAGAAAAGTTAAAGTAGTGTAATGAACATCCATATAACTTCCACCTCAATTCAACAGTTAAACATTTTGCTTTATCTACATATATATAGCTTTAGCTGTCTATTTGATTTATCTATTTATATGTGTATATATATTTTTTGGTGAACCATTTAAATGGCAGATAACAGAAGTCTTCACCTAAATATAATTGCATGTATCTCCTGAGAATAGGGATTTTTCTTCCTACATAGCCTCAGTACTATATTACACCTAAGAAAATTGACAATAATTTAAAAATATTATCTACCATTTAATCCATATTCAAATTTCCCAAATTATAAGAAGGTGGTTTGTTGGGGCACCTGGGTGGCTCAGTCGTTAAGTGTCTGCCTTCAGCTCAGGTCATGATCCCAGGGTCCTGGGATCGAGCCCTGCATCGGGCTCCCTGCTCGGCGGGAGGCCTGCTTCTCCTCCCTCTGCCTGCCGCTCTTCCTACTTGTGCTCTCTCTCTATCTCTTGTTAAATAAATTTTTAAAAATCTTAAAAAAAAAAAAGGTGGTTTGTCCTTGTTGTTTTAATGTCTTTTAAGTCTCTTTTAATCAATGGTTCCCTTAGAGAGTAGGCCAGCTCTTGAAGCCCTATGTCAGGGGAGTGTGGAATGGTTGGGATTCGGACTTCAGTTTCTCAATCTTTTATCTGGAGTTACCTTTGGTTGTAGTAGTATGCTTTACCTAGGTTATCAGTCTGTTCTTCTGTATTAAGATGTAGGATAAAGGCAAGGGAAAAATAACTTTTTTCTTACTCCCTTTTCATTTTATTCTTCCCTCTGTCATTCCTGCCTAGTGCTTGGTACTTCTCTGAACTGCCTTTGTCCTCTGAGCATGAGGCAGTGATACAGAGTTTTGTGGTCAGATTGGCATGGTCTTTCAAGTAATCTTTCAACAGTATAAAATAATTATTTGCCCATTAGTGGAGAAAAATATAGCTTCATTCAAGACATGACCATGTCCACAGCCTTTTCTGGGAGGTCAACTCCAGAGACTTCCTTTGCGTTACCGAGAATTGGTGTAGGCTTGGGGCACCTGTCCTGTTAGCCTAGTGCCTTCTGGTGAGAAGAGTTTACTGGAAACTTTTCTTGCCTTCATTTGTGGCAGTTCCAATATCTTTCTGCTCCCTAAAGTTGCTCTGAGCTCTACACCTTGGAGATTGCTTTATATTCTCTGTCATGGTGGATTTAGCACCTAGATTAAAGCTTGCTTTCTTCCTCCTCCTCCTCCTCTTTCTCCTTTTCTTTCTTTCTTTTTTTTAATGTTTTATTTATTTATTCATGAAAGTCAGAGAGAGAGAGAGAGGCAGAGGGAGAAGCAGGCTCTCCGCCTAGCAGGGAGCCCGATGCGGGACTCGATCCCAGGATCCTGGGACCATGACCTGAGCCGAAGGCAGATGCTTAACCATCTGAGCCACCCAGGCGCCCCTCCTTTTCTTTCTTCTTAATAAACATTAATTCTGGGGACGCCTGGGTGGCTCATTTGGTTAAGCGTCTGCCTTCGGCTCAGTTCACGATCCCAGCCAGGGTCCTGGGGTCGAGTCCCGCATCAGGCTCCCTGCTCGGTGCAGAGCCTGCTTCTCCCTCTCCCTCTGCCTGCTGCTCCTCCTGCTTGTGGGTGCGTGCGTGCTCTCTCTCTCTGACAAATAAATAAATAAAATCTTTAAAAAAATAAACATTAATTCTGAAGTTTAGGACATAGATTGAGATTTGACCATATTGAGTTGTATTAAAAGTTGACATTTGTTTGTACATTTCGCTACTGATTTCCATATAGCCTCCTTCCTCCTGGAAGATAGCAGGTTTATGGTTCACGAAAATTTGTGAAGCGTTCCATGTTTTTTAAAAGATTTATTTATTTATTTATCTATCTATTTGAGAGAGAGAGCGCGTGTGTGGTGCAGAGGGAGAGAAACTTCAAGCAGATGCCCCACCCCCCCAGCTTGGTGTCTGATGCTGGGCTCTATCCCACAACCCGGGAGGTCATTACCTGAGCTGAAACTAAGAGACCCTTAACAGATGGAGCCATCCAGGTGCCCCAGGCATTCCATATTTTTAAGGAAACCAGCCATAAGCTGATCTTTTTTCTGAATATGGGATGTAATACCATACCAGTACTTAGGGAATTTTTAGAATCATACTTTAAGAGGTTCTTTGAGATGGTCTAGATTAGAAAGAGGTCTGCTGGCTCATTTGTTAGTTGAAGGGGTTGGATTAGATGACAACATCCCTGCCAGTTTTAAAATTGTAGCAATAGCCATACATACTTATATATACATATATGGAATTTCTAGAAGGATTCACAAAAAGCTGGCAATAGTGTTTGCTTCTGGCAAGAGAGACTAGGGAACTTGGTTGTTAGGGAGACTTTTTATTGTATACACTTTTGTACTATCTTTATTTTTACAATGTGCATGGATTATTTTCTCAAAAAAAGGGGCGCCTGGCTGTCTCAGTCCATAGAGCATGCAACTCTTGCAGGGTTGTGAATTTGAGTCCCATGTTGGGTGTAGAGATTACTTAAAAATAAAATCTTAAAAAACAAACCTGGTATAAAAAGAAATACAATTCAATGTTTTCCTTGTTAAAAGGAAAGTAATCTGAATATATAATAGTCTAAGTATTAAAAACTGAACCAGTGGACTAAATATCCTGCAATTATTTAAAAGGACTCCAAAGCAACACAGAATGATTATGAGTGAATAAATGAGAAGCTGTTCCAACTATGGAAAGTGTACAAGTGGCTGATATTAGATGGTATATAAAGAAATGAAAACAGTGGTGTTGAGACTGTGAACAAGTTTTGTTCTTTCAAAAAAATCTTTTGGGAAAGTTAGTCATTCTTTCACTGACTTATTTTTGTTAAACTAAAGGGAACTTCAGTTCTAGAGCATCCTATGAGGCCAGAGGCCAGAGGCCAGAGCCAGGGTAAACAGGTCAGGTTCCTGAAGAAAACGGCTGTAGCTGCCAGAGTCCAGAGAAAGGTAGAGATTAATTATAAATGCAGCAGTGAAACTGCACCTTCCGGCTCACAATGTGAGGATGATGATGATAGTGGCTAACCTGGAGTGCTTACCCAGTACCAGACGCTCTGCCAAGTGCTTTCTTCTCCTGGACTCCCGTAGTTCTCTCCGCAACCCTTTGTGGTCACCCCTCACTAGGTAGGCGGTGGTGCCATGAATGGGATCAGCCTGTTACCTGACCCCCACCAGAGAGCACTGGCTGGCCCTGAGTGGATCCACAGCTGCCTCCTCGGTGCCTGGCACCTGCTGGCTCTCGGCCGGCTCTGGGCCGGCTCTGGGCTGGCTGGGATTGATTCTTCTTCTCTGCTCTCTTTGGAGAGCTAGTACCCAACAGCCCAGCTTGGGGTGAAACCTGATGCTGAAGAATTCACTGCTGCCCCTAGTGTGCCCTCTCGTCCTAGCTCTAGGCCATTCACTTCCTGCTTCTCCCGCTGTGCCCCGGTTTACTTTGTCCCATTGTTCCTAAAACTGCAAGTAGGTTTTGTTGAGCTGGGGGGGGAGGGCTACTGTCAGAATGCCTTCAGCCTCCCCTTTAAACCCCTGAAGCTACAGCCTAGGACAAAGTCCACACTTACCACACCCTTTTTGGCTCTTGTCTTTTCCCCTTTGATAACTCTCCTTTTTCTCCCTTCCTACTTCCCATCAGCCGGGAAACTAAACTGTTTCCCAGAAATTTCTTTATGCATTTTCAAATTCTTACTGTGTACCTGCAGTTATTACCTCATTTTAATTGCCAGCTTGTGCTGGAGTTAAAAAATTAGGAGGAAAATAGCTTCCTCGTAGATATCATCTCGTGACAACCTGATCTTTTTACAGATTGCCTAATTGGCTTTCTGGGAGCCCATTCCTTTACTGGGAGCTCAGTGGAGCTCATGCAATCACAGAAAAGAGGCTGACCTGACCCTGTGATCTTTTACCTAAATGTCAGTTCTGAGGGAAAAGAAAGCCAGGAAAGCTTGGTGCAGGAGCAAGCCAGATTTTAAAAATAGAATCTGTCCCAGGGCACCTGGCTGGCTCAGTTGGTGGAGCTTGCGACTCTTGATCTCAGGGTTGTGAGTTCAAGCCCCACGATGAGTACAGAGATTACATAAAAATAAAATCTTTAAAAAAAATAAGATAAAAATAGAATCTGCCCCAATCTGTACAAGTTAACCAGCCTGGCATTGCCAACCTGAAACATCAAACTAATTAATAGGTATGTGTTTTTAATCAAAGCATACATTTAATAGCCTCTAAGTCAGGTGAAAAGGTGAGAAAAGTAAAAAAGGTTAGTTTTACAATTTCCTTTTAAACTAAATTTGGCTTTGTTTTAGTAAATCTTAACCACTTGACATTTAATGTATAGTCCTAATGAAGCCTAGACTTCATTCCTGAGAGTCAATTTTGATTGCTCTCAGTTTATTTATTTTCTAACTCCTTTCTTTCTTTAGCTTTTAAAATTTCTGTTTTGACACTCTAGAAATGAGTTAGAGTTGAGACATCTCCCCATTTTACTCTCTTTGAAGTGTATGGTGGACTGGGACCAGAAAGGCAGTTGACTTCTGAAGGACTACACTCGAGTTCAGTTTGAGTGGAGGGTGTCTTCGCCAGCTGGGACTAATTTTGTGTTCTTTAGTTTCCCACAGTCAGATCACCCGCCTCTACAGCCGGTTCACCAGCCTGGACAAAGGAGAGAATGGGACTCTCAGGTAGGCAGTTCCCATCTTTATTTTCGGGCAATATCTGAACAGGAACCTTTATCCCCAGGGCAGAGGTGATAGGCGTCTAGAGTGCAGAGGGCAGGGATCAGTTCTTCACTGTCTTTGACCATCATGGATTCACAAGGAAGTTAAGCAGAAGAATGGCATTACATTTATCACTAGGTACTTTCTGCCTTTACTCTTAACTCCCCTAAGTTTGGGTGGCCATTGTTCTGGTCCTTTTGAAAATTTCAGCTCTCTCTACTTGAGTTTTCCCATGGCCCTTTCCCAAACACGTTAGCTTTCAGGAAGTCAACCGATAGCAATTCAGGGTGGTCTAGATTGTTTTGCCCTCCCCTCTCACTTTCCACTCCAGCCCCATAACCCTAAGGTACACTACTTTGTATATATTAATGTTAGATAAGATGTTCAATGTTTTAGTCTAGAGCATTGGTTCTCAATTGAGGGCTCTTCTGCTCCTAGACAACAAAATATCTGGAGACGTTTTTGATTGTCATGAGTGGGGCGTGCGTTGATGTTGGTGTGTAGAGGCCAGGAATGCAGCTACATGTCCTGTAATACAGGACAGCCCCCCCACAACAAAGAATTATTCTTCCCTAAATATCAAACACGCCAAAGTTGAGCAACTCTTGTCTAGAGTTAATTATATGACTTCAGAGTAATGTGATTTTGTACCACTTCCTATTTGTAATTGTCTTATCATGGTCCAATGAAATCTCTCCTTACCATCACCTCCCACCCTAACTCTCAGTAGCAAGCTCAGCTTTAACTAACTAATATAGAATGAAGCTATTAGCTTTTCTAGTGGCTGGCAGGAAGCAAGAAGTAGTTTGGGAATTCTTTAGAAGACTTTTAGCACAGTTGTGGGGTGTGGTATAAAGGGGGAAGGAATATAGTTGCTAAGCCTTTGTACATAATCCTCAGGCAGAATAGCTAGAGAATGCTGATAAAACCATAGGGCCATGTTTGTACAGGGCAAAATCTGCTGTCACTGGAAGCTGGAATGGACTCAAACCATGCTGTATAGTCATTAATGTCAACAACTATGAAATACCTACCATGTGCAAAGACCACACTGGGTGCTTTCTCTTCTTTTTTATATTGAGGAAAATATACATAATATAAAATTTACCATTTTAAAGTATACAATTCATTGGCATTAAGTTCATTCACAATGTTGTATGACCCTTACTACTATCTAGTTAGAGAACATTTTCATCACCCCAGTTGGAAACCTTGTACCCAGTAAGCAGTCACTTCCTATTTCGGGGGCAGGGGCAACCACTAATCTACTTTTTTCTCTCTCTGGACATTTCATATAAATGGAATCATACAGTAGGTGGCCTTCTGTGACTGGCTTCTTTCATTTAACATGGTGTTCTCAAGGTTCTTCAACAATATAGCATGTATCAATACTTCATTCCTTTTTATGGCTGAATAATATTCCATTGTATGCATATACCATATTTTGTTTATCTTCTAATAAGTTGATGGGCATTTGGGTTTTTTACACCTTTTGGTTATTATGAATAGTATTTCTATGAACATTTTTGTGTGGACATCTGTTTTAATTCTCATTGGACTTAGGAGTAGTATTGTGGGTCATATGGTAATTTTATGCTTAATTTATTGAAGAACACCAAATTGTTTTCCACAGAGGCTGCACTGTTTTACATTCCCACCTGCAGTGTATTGAGGGTTCAAACTTCTCTACATCCTCACCAACACTTACTGTCTTTTGATGCTAGCTATCCTGGTAGGTGTGAATGGTGTATCATTGTGGTTTTGATTTGCAGTTCCCTGCTGGCTGTTGCTATTGAGCATCTTTTCATGGTTGACCATTTGTATATCTTCTTTAGAGAAATTCCTATTCGAATCCTTTGCCTATTTTTTAATTGGTTTGTCTTTTTGTTGTTGAATTGTAAGAGTTCTTCCTACATTCTAGAAACTAGATCCTTATGAAATACATGATTTGCAAATATTTTCTCCTATTCTGTGGATTGTTTTTGTACTCTCTTTGTAGTATCTTTGAAGCACAAAAGTTTTAAATTTTGATGAAGTCTAATTTATCTAATTTCTTTTTTGGTCCATGTGCTTTTGGTATCATAGCTAAGAAACCATTGCCAAATCCAAGGTCATGAAGATTTACCCCTATGTTTTCTTCCATGAGTTGTATAGTTTTAGCTCTTCTATTTAGGTCTTTGATTCATTTTGAGTTATTTTGTATGTGTATATATGTACTATATATATGTATATATATATATGGTGTGAGGTTAAAGTCAAACTTTTTTTTTTTTTGCATGTGGATATCTACCTGTCCCTGTACCATTTGTTGAAGAGACAATGTAGATTTGCACTTGAAAAATTAAAACAGGGGTGCCTGGGTGGCTCATTTGGTTGAGCGTCCGACTCTTAATTTCGGCTCAGGTCATCGTCTCTGGGTCATGGGATCAAGCCCTGCGTCTGGCTCTGGGCTCAGTGTAGAATCTGCTTGTCCCTCCCCCTCTGTTTCTCCCTCTACTTGCATGCTCTCTCTCTCAAATAAATAAATAAAATCTTAAAAAAAAAGAAAAGAAAAAAGAAAAAAAATTGTTTTGTTTTTAAGATTTTATTTTTTTTTAATTTATTTATTTTTTTTAAAGATTTTATTTATTTGACAGAGAGATATAGCGAGAGAGGGAACACAAGCAGGGGGAGTGGGAGAGGGAGAAGCAGGCTTCCCTCAGAGCAGGGAGCCCAATGCGGGGCTCGATCCCAGGACCCTGGGATCATGACCTGAGCCGAAGGCAGACGCTTAACGACTGAGCCACCCAGGCGCCCCTTGTTTTTTAGTTTTTAAGTAATCTCTATACCCAGTGTGGGGCTCGAACGCACAACCCCGAGGTCAAGAGTCACTTACTCTATGGGACTGAGCGAGCCAGGTGCCCCAGAAACCTTTTTTTTTTTCTTTCAGCCCTAATACTTGAATAATTTACTTGAGTTTGGGGTTATATCTTCCTCATAAATTCAGATTTAACCACTGAGTAAAGATATAGAATTCACGTTCATTTTGAGTCCTTTTCTTTGTGCAAATTGAGTGATAAGTGTGTGTGTGTGTGTGTGTGTGTTTTAATCACTTTCATTATGTGCTGAAAAACAGTGGAAAGACTCTTATAAAAGGAGCTGTCTCTTAGGATGAAAACTTTGCAGGAGTCAGCTAGTATTTACCTGTTCATTAAAATCTAGCTAAGATTTGCTCAATTCCTAAAACACTGTTTCGTACTCTGGAATGCCAGTGAGCTAATTCACTCTTTTGATAGGTATTTATTGACTATCTGATGTGTGAGGCACTGTTCTCCGTGCTTGTTTCTACATATTCTTGGAGAAGAGGTGGTAGAAAGTGATAATTTTTTATTTCATAGCTGCCTGGATCTAACTGATTTTTTTTGTACTCAGCTTTACAAAGCGCTAGGTCCTAAATTTGTGCTTTGATCTCCATGTGGTGTGGATTCAAATATGGGAGAAGCCCCAGGCCACCTTGAGTACAAGAAGAAATTACCCCGTTGTACTACATAGTAAACAACGAGCATATGAGATGTAAATCATTTTGTTGGACCACCCACTATCAGGGGTTTCACTCTGGCTATGCTTCCTGACAACAGCCATATCTGCCTCTGGCCATCTGTTAGATTGTCTTACCCTCTTCCTCAGCCACATCTCTTCTACTCCCTCCAGCTTTAGAGAATACCTGATGGACTCTTAAAATCTATACTACAGTATGATAATGGATCTTTCTAGCCTTTACTGCCAAACCCAGCTCAAGTTCTGTCTTGATCTTTCCAGAACCCATCAGGGTGCTTAGCCAAACGCAAGTGACCAATCTTTTGTTACCTGGAACAGGCCCCACTTTCTTAAGAAGGCTTTTAGCAGAAATAATTTCCTTTTTACATTTTCTTCACTTTCCTCTTCCATGATGCTCCATGCCTGGGCCTGAAGCCAGATCTACAGAGCAAGAGGCATGTACCATCCATAGCATTTGTATTCCGTTGTAGTGTCAGTCCCAGTGGGAACATAAAGCAGAAACTATGGAAGGCTTTGGTTAGAAATGGAGCTTCTCCAAGGTGCTTTCAGAGATTTGCCCAAAACTATGTTTAATAGGACACTAGTTTTTTGGTCTACCAATAGGTGTTGTATACAAAGAAGAAGAAAAAATTATCGACTAAACTTTATGCAAAACTTCGTGAGCATGGTTTAACAGGATTCTTTTTTATGGGATTTCCTGGCATCTTTAATATGCTCAAGTGAATTGGGCCTCTTCAAGAAGGGAATATTGTGAACAGTGTCAAATGATTTGCAGTTTTCATATAGACTTTCTTTTTACATGGATCATCTTTCAGATTTGTATTTCATAGAATAAAAAAATATATTGTAACCTCACAAATCTTATTTTCTTCAGATGCTATTATTTTGGGTAAAATGTTTCTACCACTGCTGTTGAAATTGATCTTCCTGAAATGGGTATCTGTCTTTTTTTTTTTTTTAAGACTTCATTTATTTGAGAGAAAGAGAACACATAGAGGGAGAGGAAGAAGCAGACTCCCCACTGAGCAGGGTGCCCCATGCGGTACTCAATCCCAGGACCCTGAGATCATGATCCCAGCCGAAGGCAGACACTTAACCAACTGAGCCACCCAGGCACCCTGAGCATCTGTCTTGTAAAGGATCTTGCAGCGGTCCTTTGCAGGTCAGGTCAAGATGAGAATCTCATCAGCATCTGAATACAAAGATGATTTCTTTTGTTTAAATATCTTCTGTACTGGGGCACCTGAGTGTCTCAGTCAGTTAAGTGTCTGCCTTTGGCTCAGGTCGTGATGCCAGGTTGCTTGGGATCAAGCCTCACATAGGGAAAGGGAGTCTGCTTCTCCCTCTGCCCCTCTCGTGTTTGCTAGCGCGTTCTCTCTCTCTCTCAAATATAAACCTTTAAAGAAAAATATCTTCTGTACTGATCTAATGTATGGTGTTAGAAGTCAGCATAATGATTACCCTTTGTGGAGGGGAATCAGGTAGAGACAAAAGGATCCCCACGTTGTGTGTAGAGATTACTAAAAAATATAAATAAACTAAAATATTAATTAAATGCTTCAAATAATGGAAGTCATTTCAGTGCTAAATCTAAATAATAAGTTATTTATTTCTATTATATCACTTAAATAGGGAACACTTTTCTTAGAGAGAGAGAGAGAAAGCACAAGCAAGGGGAGTGGCAGGCAGAGGGAGAAGCAGGCTCCCCGTTGAGCACGGAGCCGGATATGGGACTTGATCCCGGGACCCTGGGATCAAGACCTGAGCTGAAGGCAGATGCTTAACCGACTAAGCCACCCAGGCGGCCCTGGAACACTTTTCTTAACTGAATATGTTCCCACAAGTGTGTCCTTTTAACAGATTTTAATGTCCTCATTATGCATGTCACCTCACCATCGACCCTGGGGCCTGAAATATAAACAGTTAACTGAGGCTGATTTTCCAGGTAAGAGAAGGAACCTGCATAATGAAGATCAGTGTAGACGGCTGGCACTTCTGGTTACTTTAGGTCTCTCAAACATCCCTGTGCCTGTGAAGGTCTGGAAAACCACTCTTCACTGGGAATTTCTTGGCCACAAAGAATGCTGTTATATATGATTCTATTCTCAGACTTACCTACTTCTAGGTATAACATCTTTTCTTAAAATATCTTTGAGGAGGATTTTCCTAGGTATACTATAAGGTAAAATATAACACTGGCATGCTTTTTTATGAGTACACACAAATTTTGAACAAATCTTACTTGTGTGTAGACTGCTTAGAGTCTATATGTTTTCTCTATTAGGATCGTGTTAGTGGACAAATTTAAGAAGCTATGTTTTAGAAAAATTGCCCAGATGATCTCCATTCTACTATAGAACAACTAATAATAACAAACTGTATTGTTTGGCAGTTTACAAACTATTGTTTTGTACTTTCATTTTAATTTTGATACTATCAACAGTATTCCTCTTGGTGTTATAGAACTGCATTGTATATACAATCTAATTTCCAAGAGTAAAGAAAAAAAATGTCAAAGGGCAAGTTTAGGTCTTATTGACATTGGAATTCCAAGACTAAATCCCTTTTGAGACTGAAGTTCAGGCTAGGTTGTGTACTCACCACTTGATATTAGACCTGGTATTTAAACTGTGCCTTTTCTCAGCTAAAATTACTCCAGCTTGTTAGACATTAAGCTGAGGTATGTGGCTATGCAATTCAAATGAGCCTTAATCTTCATATAAAAGGGAGTAGTTACTGTTTCTTAACCTCTGTCAAAGAAGAGGAGCCACTTTGGGTGATAATGCGGACTTTGTATTACAGAACGAGTTATGTAATAAGAGCTTAGTACATGTTTGTGGAATCAAATAATTCAGGACCTCCGTAATTTCCTTTATCTTTTATCATCTTAAGCAATGGCTTCTTCTGGTTCATTCATTGATGTAAAAATTACTACCTGAAGTGATCAAGGAAGATTAGAATTCAGAGTTATTGTTCCAGAGCTTTACATTTAGTCCCCAGGTCAGTTTTTTTTAAGATTTTATTTATTTATTTGACAGAGGCACAGTGAAAGAGAAAACACAAGCAGGGCGAGCGGGAGAGGGAGAAGCAGACTTCCCGTGGAGCAGGGAGCCCGATGCGGGGCTCGATCCCATGACCCTGGGATCATGACCTGAGCCGAAGGCAGATGCTTAACGACTGAGCCGCCCAGGCGCCCACCCAGGTCAGTTTTGACCTGTGTCACTACCAGATCTGTTGAAGATGAGCTTCTTGAATTAATTCAGCACCATCTAAATGTTAAACCGTTCTAAGAGAAACAGAGTATTGAAGGCTTCTGGATAAAATAGGGTTATTGGGATGCCTGAGTGGTGCAGTCGGATAAGCATCGGCCTTTGGCTCAGGTCATGATCCCAGGGTCTTGGGATCGAGTCCTGCATCAGGCTCCTTGTGTAGCGGGGACTCTGATGAATAAGTAAATAAATCTAAAAAAAAAACAGATTAAAAAAGTAAATTAATTAAAATAAGGATATTTCATTAGCACTTAGTAAAAGGGGGTAGAGGAATAAGTTTTATCTCTTCTGTTAGTAAATGTCTTGAAGGCAAGAATCAGGTTCGTTTGAGTTTTATTTTTCTTTTTTTACTTCTTACCTAGAAATAATTTCAAACTTACAGAAAAGTTCCAAGAATAATACAAAGAACTTCCACATACCTGATACCCAGATTTACCAATTGTTAATATTTTGCCACATACCTTAGTGTCACATTCTTGTGTCAAAGTCAAGAAATTTCGTTTTGATACAGTACTATTATATAATTCCATATTCTGTATGGCCTGTGTTCCATTTTTACCTATTGGCTCAGTAATGTCCTTTGTAGCAATGTTATTCCTAGCCTAGGTCATGCATTGAGTTCAGTTGTATATCTTTTAGTCTCCTATGATCTGGAACAATCCTCTGCCTTCCTCTGTCCTTCATGACATTCATATTTTGAGGAGTACAGCACAGATACGTTACAGACAGCTTTATATATTTGGCTCAGAATATAAACTAAGAAGTTTTTAGAAAACACTTTTTGAATATTTTTTGGGAGAGCACCTTTCTTTCAGAATGTTTAATATGGGAAAGAAGTGTGTGTGTGTGTGTGTGTGTGTTTATTGGGGCACCTGGGTGGCTCAGTTGGCTGAGCATCTGCCTTCAGCTCAGGGTGTGATCCCAGGGTCCTGGGATTGAGCCCATAGTTGAGCTCCCTGCTCAGTGGGGAGTCTGCTTCTTCCTCGGCCCCTCCCCCTGCTCATGTTCTCGCTCTTTCTAAAATAAATGAATAATTTTTTTAAAAGATTTTATTTATTTATTTGAGAGAGTGAAAGAGAGAGAGCAAGGGGGGTTGGTGAGGGAGAGGGATCGAACCTGGAGGAGACTCCCCGCTGAGTGCAGAGCCCTGTGCAGCTGGATCCCTCAACCCTGGGATCATAGCCTGACCTGAAGTTCGATGCTTAACCAACTCAGCCACCCAGGCACCCCAAGAAGTGGGTGGATATTTTTTTTATGACTTTATTTATTCATGAAAGAGAGAAAGAGAGACAGAGGTAGAGGGAGAAGCAGGCTCCCTGTGGAGGAGGGAGCCTGATGTGGGACTCAGTCCCAGGACCCTGGGATCATGACCCGAGCTGAAGGCAGACGCTTAACCAACTGAGCCACCCAGGCGCCCTGTGTTTTTTAATCATTCTCTTCTATTCTATTTCATTCCATTTTATTTTATTTATTAAGATTTTATTTTTAAGTAATCTCTACACCCAACATGGGCCTCAAACTCAAGAGTCACACTCTCCACCAACTGGGCCAGCCAGGCGCCCCAGAAATGTGGTTTTTTGTTGTTTTTTTTTTTTTAGAAAAAAGAACATGTGCTGTGACTTAAGTTTAAATTTAGATTTAAATCCGAGTTGTGCCACTTACTAGCTCATAGCACTGGGCAGGTTACTTTATCTCACTGACTCTCAGTTTCCTCAACTTGAAAAGGGTACAGATAAAATGTTGGCCTGAAGAATGAGATAATGTGTATACCCAGAGCGGCACATGATGTGTGTACAGTGAATGGTGGCTAATAATATTCATTTCAGCATTAACTTCCAAGTTGTGAGAGGATGACTGCTCTTGCCACATTCAAGGCTTAATTATTTCTGTGGTCTGAGTCTGTAGAAGGCAAATGAAGAAAAGGCCAGAATCAGAGCAAGGAAGGATGGAAATCAATTAGTTGTCACACTTTATTCTTTCCTTGGACATTGCCTTAAGAATTCCTTGCGTTTCACTGATCTAGATTTCTTTTGAAGTAGTTTTTTTCATGTTTAATTTGTATTTGTAAAAAAACAAAACAAAAACCCAAAAACAAAGAAACCCCAAAATCCAAATAACACAAAACCAGAGCAAAACTGTTGTGCCTTCTATTTATCTTTGATTCCAGCCTTGGCAGTTGTTTAAAGAAAAAAAAAAAAGTCTAGATTTGTTTTATCAGGTGTATATGTTGGGAATTGAAGAATCCCTCTTTTGACCTGGTATGTCTTCTGTTCATTTGTTATGCCTTATTCTTAAAATTGAGTCTCAAACTGGAATTCCTTTAAGGACAGATATGCTTCTATGAGAGGTCCTTTGACCTATGTAGTCCAGCATTTGTATTAAGTTTTATTTCGGTAAATATTCAGAATCTTAATCATAGCCCATAAAAAGGAATATGACTTTAATATTGGACTTTGTGCTTGAGTGTCTGCCCGTTTTTTTTTTTTCTTTAAATCATAGCCATATGGTAAATTTTCTATTTTGTTATGGTTCTCTTTTATTGATGGGCATGCAGTGGGTGTTTCTTGGAAATGGCCAATTTTTATTAAAATATTTCTGGAAGAAAAAAAAAAAAAGAATTCCTTGCATTTCATAGGTGTTGTAGATCTTACCAAGGGTACAGGATTTTTGCTACTATACACAAGCTCTATGGTGTTGATAGTTTGCATTGCTGTTCACTCTCCAAACTTAATAACTAAGTACAAAATGGTAATGTTCAAAGAATGATTTACAGGGACAGCTCAGTATTTGCTTGTTAGTTGTTTTATTGACGTAACTTGTGTGCTGAATTCACTGGAATGTGGCGTAGTCAAATCTGGCTTCTTCCACTCTTGAGTTGGTGCAAGAAACACTTGGCAGCTGCTAAAGTGCTATTCTTTGCAGTTATTTGGTATAATTTGCCACAGAAGTAAATTCCACGAGGTAATATTCTTGCTAGGTTCTACTCTTGCATGACTGAATGAGTTCCTGCTAAGGGCCAGTAGTCTCTAACTCAAGGTGATTCTCTTGGCAGCCGGGAAGATTTCCAGCGAATTCCAGAACTTGCCATCAACCCATTGGGGGACCGGATTATCAATGCCTTCTTTCCAGAGGGGTGAGTCCCTGCAGTTGTTGGCTTCCTTTCTGAGGCAAATCTGGAATAATGTTATTGGTTGGGTCATTTTAAACCACGATCCTCCTGATTATATTGGGCATCCTTAACTTGGTCATATCTAGAATATCTCTTCAAAGAGGTATATGAGCCTATTTTCAAAATTTTGTCTTTAATCTCTGTTTAGCTTTAATGTAAAACTAAAATTTTTTAAAACTTTTATTTGGAAATAATTTCAAGTTTATAGAAAAGTTGCTAAAATTGAAAATAATACAAAGAACTCCTGTATTTCTTTCACCCAGACTCATCTCTTGTTACATCGTTAACCTTTTGCCTCATTGGCATGTGCTCTCTGTCTCCTTGTGTTCCAGCCAATGAAATTATAGTCAAGTCATATACAGGATTATAAATTTTCTAGTACCCACATAAAAAAAGTAAAAAACAAGTTAACCCTGTCAATATATATATTTTATTTATCCAGTGTATTTAAAATATTATCATTTAATATGTAATCAATATATTTAAATTACTAATATATTACATTCTTTTTAATATTAAGTCTTTGAAATCTTGTGTGTAATTTACACCTACAACACCTATCAGCTGCTGTAATACTAATGTAAAATATTATGTATTTTATTCTTTTTTCCAGCTTTATTGATAAATAATTGTCATATTGTGTAAGTTTAAGGTATACAGCACAGTGGTTTTATATATGTACATATTGTGATTATCACAGTAAGGTTAATGCATTTATGACCTTACATAGTTACTGTTTTTGTATGATGAGAACTTTTATAATCCACTCTCCTAGCAACTTTGAAATGTACCGCACAGTATTGTTACCTATAGTCACCGTGCTCTACATGACATCCCCAGAACTTACTCCTCTTATAACTGGGAGTGTGTACCCTTTGACCCCCTTCACCTGTTTCTCCCATTGTCTATTTTGTTCTAATATATCAATCATATTCCTGTTTTAATCTCCTTTATAGCACTTTCCCCCTGTCCAGTACAGGATCCAGGCTGGGTCAGTTGTCATGTTTCTTTGGCCTCCTTTAATGTGGAACATTTCCACAGCCTTTATTTTTCCTTTACAACATTGGCTAAGGATACAGTCCCCTCCACCACACACACAGTTTGCCAATAGACTTGGGTTTGTCTAATGTAGAACTAGGCTTTTGATATGCTTCACTACGTAATACACTGACTTCAGAGTACTGAGTAAATATTTATCAATTTGATTCGGTACCTTTCTCTGAATAAAGCTTTATTATGTTATATTATTTTAAGTAATCTCTTCAACAGTTTCTTCCTGGTTCCTTGTGACTTATCTGTATGACCCAAAGGACTTTAAAAAGTTCAGTGGTTGCCAATTTCTTAATAATGAGACTAAATGTCAGTGAAGATATTATCAGATAAAATGGAGAGGAAATTTTAGAACTCTAAACTGAGAGCAGAAGAATTTGCAAGTTGAGAATTTGGGCATTCAGTAAAGCTGAGTGACAGAGGGGGAGGACTAGCAGCTAGTTTGTGTGAAGACAGGAATTGAATCAAACAGACATGCTCTCTTCAGATTCGTGTTGACCATGAGGAATCTCCTGCCCCCCAACTTCATTTTCTCCTTTTTCTCTCCGTGAACTACCCTCTTTGTTTCAGGTGTGGTTTTTGTGCTGAAATCTTGCGTTTTTTTCCTACTTCCTCCTTAGCCCATGCAGAGCATTGACCCTGTTTGGAGATAACTTACACATCTATGCTTTGTATCCAAACCTTTTGCAGTGACAAGTAAACCCAGTAGAGTCATTTTGCCAACATTTTTTTCAGAATTCCGTAGTAACCATTGGTTATCAGAAAAAGCAGTTTGTGGGAAGCAGTTTTGACTGCAGTGTCGCCTGCCATCCTATGCAACATTCTGCTGAGGACACGAGGCAGGTGTACATGAGGAAGCTGAGGCCTGCACTGGGCTGCACTACCAAGCTCTCGGCAGGCTGCACTTCTGCTTCTTACTCTAAGAAGATACAGATCCTCAGTTTCTGGGTTTTTTGTTTCTTCTCTAGTCTTAATGCAAGTGGAATTTTTTTTTAATGAGATTTGAAAGTGGAGCATTGATATTTAGTTTCCTTTTACTCAGACCAATGGCAATATTTGTACTCATTAATCTGTTGTTCTGGCATATGACTCAAATCTTATTCCACATTCCTTGATTCCTCAGATCTACTGCTCCATTAGCAACCTAGCTAAATTGAAAAACTAACAGTCATTCTTTTGAGTACAGTGGGCTCATGAGCTAGCTTTTGAAATCCACCCTTAGAAAGTCTGATGTGTGTGTCTGCCTGGCATAGCACGATTCAGTGGTGCAATAAAAGACTGGAATTTACTTTTAGGTAGTCACAGGAACCACACAACCTGTTCTTTCCATGATTGCCATAGATAAATAACTATGTCACATTGGTTATACTTCTTTGAAGTATGTTGTTCATTCAAGTTTTAGAATTATTTCTCACAGGGTTACTGATTTGCCTGTGGCACAATAGAAAGATTTTTTCTAGTCTTAACTTCCAGAAAAGCTTTATACAAGAGTCTTCCCAACATTATGATCATGAGAATCTATCCAATTGTGAGGGGATAATAAAATCATAATAAGTAACACAATTATTTTGCAGACATTTAAAATGTTTCAAAGTGTTTATATTGATTGAAGACATGCTTAAAAGTTTAAAAAAGCAGGATAGGAAATTGTGTATGCAGTATGTTCACAATTATCCAAAAAGCATAGAAAAATGAGTAGAAGAAAAGATATTAACAGTAATAGTAATTGCTAGAGCTAGGAGTGGTATTTTCTTTCTACTTTCCCCCCCAAATTTCCAAAAATGTATTTATTGCTTTCATAGCAAAATATTTATTTTAAAAGCTGCGTTTCCACTTCAACCTTAAAATATCACTAGGTGTATGTGAGTGCAGGCGAAACATGAGAGATGGCTGGGAAGTCATTGGGTTGACATAGCTAATTTTTACTGCTTGCTGTAGAGTTTGAAGCAGTGAGTTCAAGTGCTGGCTTGCCTGATAGTGTAGTTCTAGTGCTACTTGAAATCCCTTTTGGGAAAAGAGCTATAAGGAACTTGAGTAGGTAACTCTGCTCAGTTCTGTTACCTCTCTAAGTCTGATTAATTATTTATAATGTGGGAAAAATAATACCTACCTCACAAGGTGGGGGTGACGCTTAATGAAGGTATTTTATGAGTCCTAAAGAATCATGCATATGGGGAAAGACCTCATTAAATGGACTTTCAGGCCACTCTAGCTAAAACTGTTGCCAATATATTGGATTCATAAGAAAGAATCACCCTGATTGAGATGGTGTTCTGTTTATTCTGTTTCCCAATCAGAGAGGACCAGGTAAACTTCCGTGGATTCATGAGAACTTTGGCTCATTTTCGACCTATTGAGGATAACGAAAAGAGCAAAGATGTGAATGGACCAGAGCCACTCAATAGCCGAAGCAACAAACTGCACTGTAAGGAGATAAAGTTTTCTGACTTAAAATATTTGCTTTCATTTGCATTTATAAATCATTTATTTACTCATTCATTCATTGAGCAGGTATTTACAAGAGCATAGTGATTAATTACACGGACTGAGTTCGGATCCCAGCTCTGCCGCTTTTTGGCCACGTGACTGCGCAAATTATTTAAAATCTTTGGGTCTTGGTTTCCTCTTGTGTAAAATGGGATGTTAAGGGGTTTCGCATAAGGAAGTTGTGATGATTAAATGAGTTAAAGTATGCGAAGTACCTGGCAATAAGAACTTAGCTGCTAATATTATCCTTAAAATTCACAGAATGCTTACTGTGCACCAGGCAGTGCGGTGAGTGCTAGAGCAACAACAGTGAATAAGACCTAGCCCCACCTGTAAGGAAGAATGGCAGTCTCAGCTGATCTTAGAATTTGATGGATACTGGATGTGACTCAAGTAGGCTTAGACAGCTGGCTTAGTGCAAAATTTAACTTTTGTCCCCATGCCTCTTGCCTCCTTTCCTTGGCTGTTTGTTAGATTTCCCTCTGTCCTTGTTGATTCATGTATGGGATTGCCCAATCCCTTACAACACTTCTCCAGAAATTGAAATTGAATTTCTCTTTTCATTCAACACAAGTTGAAATGGAAATGGAAATTGTGTTGCATTGATTGAGCCCAGGCTTCTATTACAAGAGTGCACAGTGGTATACAGAGAGGTCTTCGAAGCCACAGAATAAGTGGGGCCCATCAAGTTTTTATTGGATGATTTAAAGAAGAATAAAAGGCTTTTAAATAGTGAAACAAATATAGATAAATCATAGAATATAATGCCAAATTTACACACATTTGAAAGATGCAAGCCATCTGGCTGGCTCAGTCAGTACAGCATGTGACTCTTGGTCTCAGATTGTGAGTTCCAGCCCCATGTTAGGCAGAGAGATTACTTTAAAAACAGAAAAAAAAAAGAAGAAGAAGAAGAAAGGGTGCCTGGGTGGCTCAGTCGTTAAGCGTCTGCCTTCGGCTCAGTTCATGATCCCAGGGTCCTGGGATCGAGTCCCGCATCGGGCTCCCTGCTTGGCGGGAAGCCTGCTTCTCCCTCTCCCACTCACCCTGCTTGTGTTCCCTCTCTCGCTGTGTCTCTCTCTGTCAAATAAATAAATAAAATCTTTAAAAAATAAAAAATAATAGAAGAAGAAAGATGGGTATGTGAGACTTAAACTTTTAACTTGTAGCTTTTGGGCCGCATCGTCAGATCTCCCTAGCTATGGCACTATGATTTCACTTTCTTGATATTTTGGGTAAAGAGTTTCAGAAGCACTGAAATAAGTTTTGTTATATGAGACAGGGAAGATTTTTGAACCAAAATAGTAAAATACTGCTCTTCTTTAACACGATATCATGTACCTTAATGAAGAGCAGAAAACTTAAGTACAAACAAAACAATGTAGAAGAAAATAGAACTGCAACGAATTGCTCTCAAATGTATTGCCTACTTTATGTTTGTTAGTGAATTCTAATTTCTTCTTTCAAGACTAAATATGACTTGAGACCAAGCCTGTTTCTCCATGTGTTAAGAGTTTCAGCATATGTTTAGTACAAGTTTGCCTGATTCTGACATTAACATAATAGAAATTTTATTAGTGTTGTCAGACCAGAGCTTAAATAATAATTGAAAAAGCCAGGGATAGCATAGAATCACAGAAGAGGATACATGGTTTAATATTTTATTTTACCTTAAAATATTTATTTAAATTCAATTAATTAACATATAATGTATTATGGGTTTCAGAGGTAGAGGTCAGTGATTCATCAGTCTTTTAACACCCAGTGCTCATTACATCACATTAAATGCCCTCCTTAATGTCCAGTTACCCCATCCTCCCCTCCAGGAACCCTCAGTTTGCTTCCTATGATTAAGAATCTCTTAAGGTTTGTCTCCCTCTCTGATTTCATCTTGTTTTATTTTTTTTTCCTCTCTTCCCCTATGATCCTCTGTTTTATTTCTTAAATTCCACATATGAGTGAGATCATATGATAATTGTCTTTCTCTGATTGACTTATTTCACTTAGCTTGACACCCTCTAGTTCCATCCACATCATTGCAGACAGCAAGATTTCGTTTTTTTTAATTTACCTTAAAATATTTAAAAACACATTCACTGTCCAGTCTTTTGGTGTGGGACTAAGTTTTTGGCTTTTATTTGTTTTCATAAAAGTTTGCTGATGGGAGTCGTGTAACTTTTTATACAGAGCACATCTATAATGTATAATCTAAGGTTTCTGGTTGCAGTTTCTTTTAAGTGGAAGAAGAGCTTAAAGATACTCGTAAAGCATTCCAAAAATAGAATCTTTCTGTTGTTTACATTTTTCCTCAATCTCTTACACTTATTCTGCCACACTTTATATTAGCAGCAGGTGTTTTTTTTTTTTAAACTTTTTATTTATTTATTCATGAGAGGCAGAGGGAAAAGCAGGCTCCCAAGGAGCAGGGAGCCTGATGCAGGACTTGATCCCAGGACCCTGGGATCATGACCTGAGCCGAAGGCAGACGCTTAACCATCTGAGCCACCCAGGCGCCCAGCAGCAGGTGTTTGTTTTCTTTTTCCAGTAACTTAATTTTGAGTCTTTCAGAAGTAATCAGTCTAAATTTCACGAAACAATAACTTTGTTTTCACATACATGTTTCGCTGTTTATTAATTATATATAGTTCTTATTAACAATACAAATAGCTTGTAGGGCAGTGTATACACCTGACTCTTGGTGAACATCCAACGCAGCTGGTGGAGTAGACACTCAGGTGTTGCCCATTAGCTACGAGTACGCAGTGTGCCACCACATCAGTTGGAACAATTTGCAAAGGTAGGGAGAGAATCGGTGAATCAAGTGAGTTGGTTAAGGAGAAGACAGTTAAGAGACGTTCTGTGCTGTTAGGAAAGCACAGAATGAAACTATGCTTGCTTTTCTAATCCAGGATTAGAGGAGACTTTAAAGGTCATCAGACCAAATCATACCTGTTACCTGAATTCCCTCTCTAGCATGGGCTCTGCTTTTGAGGGTAGGGGGGACTCTACTTGTTTTAAGTCATGAATTCCTTTGGCAGTCTAGTGAATCCTGCTGACCCCATCTCAGAACACTTTTGAAAGCATAAAATCAAATACGTAGAATTATAAAGGAAACCAATTATATCAAAATACAGTTGCCAAAGTATTTTTTTTTAAGATTTTATTTATTTATTTGAGAGTGTGAGAGAGAGCATGAGGGGAATGGGTCAGCGGGAGAAGCAGACTCCCCACCGAGCAGAGAGCCCGACGCAGGACTTGATCCTGGGACTCGGGGATCATGACCTGAGCTGAAGGCAGTCGCTTAACCAACTGAGCCACCCAGGCGCCCCAATTGCCAAAGTATTAATGCAACTTTGTGAGAGTAATAGATGTGCTTCTTTGTTATTTATTTTATTTAAAGATTTATTTATTTATTTATTAGAGAGAGAGTGTGTGCACACATACATGTGCCCACAAGCAGGGGGAGGGGCAGAGGGAGAGAATCCCCAAACAGGCTCCCTACTAAGTGCAGAACCTGATACGGGGTCCTATCTCAGGACCTAGGGTCATCACCTGAGCCGAAACCAAGAGTTGGACGCTTAACCAACTGAGCCACCCAGGCATCCCAATTATTTATTAAATAGCAGGATGTAACATTGGAGGCTGTGGAACAGCTCTGTATCTTTTTTTATCATCATCATCATCATTATTATTATTATTATTGAAGTATAGTTGACATACAATATAGTAGTTTTAGGTGTACCACATAGCTATTTGACATTTATATACATTATGAAATGCTCACCATGGTAAGTGTAGTTACCATCCATCACCATACAAAGTTATTACAGTTATTACTGATCATTTTCCCTGTGCTGTACTTTACATCCTTACATCTCTGTGACTAATTTATTTTATAACTAGAAGTTCTTCTTGATCCCCTTCACCTGTTTTGCTCATTTTACCCATCTCCCTTCTGACAGCCACGATTTTGTTCTCTGTATTTATGAGTCTGTTTCAAACAGCTCTGTTTCTTGAATGTGGTGGTGGTGACACAAAACTACATAGGTGGTAAAATTGCTTAGAACTATACACACACGTGTGTGCTTACACAGAAACACACAGTGAAATCTGAATAAGCTTTGAACTGTACCACTGTCGATTTCCTGATTTTGATGGTATATTACAGTTATGCAAGATATTTTTTTTTAAAGATTTTATTTATTTATTTGAGAGAGAGAAAGAGAGAGAGAGAGAGAGAGCATGAGAGGGGGGAGGGTCAGAGGGAGAAGGAGACTCCCCGCCGAGCAGGGAGCCCGATGTGGGACTCGATCCTGGGACTCGAGGATCATGACCTGAGTCGAAGGCAGTCGCTTAACCAACTGAACCACCCAGGCGCCCCAGTTATGCAAGATATTAACCACCAGAGAAAACTGGTGAGGGGTATATGGGACCTTCCTATGTTTGTTTTTTTTTTTGTAACTTCCTGTGAATCTCTACTCCAAAATAAAAAGTAAACCAAAAAACGGCCAACGGTACATTGGAGAAAGCAATAGAGAAATACATTCATGTGCTTCTCTTTGCATATTTCTTTCATGGCATTTGTTGACATAAAATAGTTTTCAGAAAAACATTTAATAAAGTCTTTCTCAGTATTTTGTTGTATACAATGGAGCAGTAGGTTAGAACACCCAAAAGGTATGAATTTGTGTCAGACCAGAAAGAGGTTCCCAGTGGTATGTTGTGGGGCTCCTTTAGCTTTTTGTTTTTTTTTTCATCAGTGGCTTTCGTTGAAGCTGTAATAAGTAAATATATCAAGTTTCTGGTTGACTGTAAACTTGGAGGCATAGTGAATACAAGACACCACAGAATTAGAACCAAAAGAGATACTGATAGGCTGCAAAGAGTTGGACTAAATCTAATAAAATGAATGCTGTAAGGGATATACTAGAGTGCTGC